AAGAAAATTTGAAATTTGACCATTGAAGGACCATTGCCGATTCGCCTCCTTCATAGACTAGGGCTACGTTATTATAGCGAAAATAGAAGTTGGAAAGGCTTTTGGTAGGTAGAGGGGGTAAAGGTCAAATCATACCACGTCGGACGGCTTCGAGAATTTCGCAGTGATATTTACCTGCCAGTGTCGTTTCATAGAATAAGTAATTTTAAATTGTTACCGGCGGAACCAGACAATCGCATGTATTTATGGACTATAAATAATTATTAAACATGTATTATAATATTCAAATCATAATTTTATAAAATTTCATTAGCTATTCACAATTTATTAAACTATTTACTCGAAATGGTTACTAACCAAGGTATAAAAAAATACAGTTAAGTACTAACATCTATAAAATAATTTCGTACGCCAATGTATCGCGTCCACTTCGGTGAGATCCACCGCAAACCTGTCAATTTATTTGTATAAAGTGGGAGAACTGGCAAAAGCCTTTCCAACTTTTACTTGTGCTATCTCTTATTATACTCTTCACATAGTGGCCTGTGAAGAGTATTATAGCAGAGACAACTAATGAGACGGTTAACTCAATGCAATTTTACTTTTCGCCAAGAATTGACTGCGCGATTGGATTGGAAGATGTAGCCGATGGCGCTGGTATACCTTGTGCTTTAATAGTGGCCTTTTTCTTCATAAGCAATCAGTCAATTTAAATATTTTTCTTTAAAAAAAGAAGAACCGCGGGAAATTTAAATATGTAGATCCACTTTATCTATATTTTTTATATAATGATTTTTTCTGATTTGATGCACTGGAAATGTGAATAAATATGTAATTCACATTTACTAGCAAACCAAATCAAAAAAAAAAATCATTTTTTAGGCACACAAAATAAATAACATTAAAAAGGAAAATAAAACAAGGTATGATTTCAATAATAATATATATTATGTATTAAACAATAATAAACATTCACACAACAAACGTACTACAATAAATTTGAAATACTTACTTTACGGAAATTAAACAAAATCCTGGCGTGATCCCGGCATTGTTCGTTCCTTTGGGTTTGTAAACAAACTTAAAACTACCTAATATGAAAACACTAAACTAACAAATTTAAAAACGTAACTAATAATGAATGAAAAACAACCAAAAAATGAATTTACAAGTTAAATTGCAAAATATATATAGGTAAAACGAAACGAGAATAAAACGACACCAAACCATAGCAGAAACAAATCAGGCATTCCAAACTGAATGGCTACCAGTGAGTTTTGACAGGTTATGATAGGGCAAAATTATGGCAACCCTGTAGGCCTGGTGATTTGACAAGGTCAATGAAATAGATAGTTACATAGATTGATCATCCATATTTTTCAAAATAAACATAAGCTTATGCCTTGCAGTAAAAATGTAAGCAATTATTTTTTTTAAATATCTAAAGGATGAAAATTGGTTTTAAAACACATTTTTGTTAAACCGATTCAAATTAATAAATATTTGCCAGGCAATATGGCCGCTCGCAAACGACCAGCTTTGAGCAATCTATATAACTATATCATTGACCCTGTTAATGACAACATGACAACAGGGTTGCCATATCTAAACTGTCAGTCCCCACTGGTAGCCATTTGGACAGGTCGTTGGAATGCCTAATAGGCACATACTTTGATTTTCTTTCAAAGTATGTGCTAATAGGAGATAAAATGACAGGTTAGAAATACGTCAATCTGGCAGACGTCAAAGTGAAATGCTCGTGCTGTGATGCCAAACTTATTTTCTTCTAGTGCTATTGGCTTTTTAGCATTCAGTAGTTAGCTACACAAAACTTTTTATTTTTGATCTTTGTACACAATCCTGCTATATGTTTCTTAAAACACATCTTTTGTTATATATATATTATATATAAAGAAATTAAAAGTCCAATATAAGTATTACTTATGGATAAATAAGATCTTTATTATTTAAATGTAAAAGAAACAAATTTGGAAAATGTTCATAACGGCAACATTGCTGGAACGTTACCAGCGACATCTACCCTATCTTTTACATAGATAAATTAATATAAAACAAGATGAATTTATTAAATGCCCGCCACTGTCAACACGGCGTAGTTCCCAGCATACTATTAGTTAGCGCCACCATCGCAATAGTATGAAAGCGATGTTGCCGGTTTCCGTAAACTTTCATGAGATTATAGTTATTTCAAATTCATTTTATTTTAATTTTTTATCAATCTACATGCGCACCATACCATCCATACAATGTCCATACTATTTCTGAGATTTTTAAAAGACGGGATTGACAACCTTGTAAAAAATGAAAAACGTGATGGCGGAAGGCGGGATATGATGATAAAATAAAACTTATTTTTATTTTATGATGTAAGTTACATAGGTAGGTAAGTTATTTTTAGGTTAAGAAACAAACTGTGCTGATTTGATGTAATTAGTAAGTATTAACTTTAATTTAATATTAAGTATTTAAGGGCTTTGTTTATCATTGTTTTCTTAGCCTTAACGATATATATAGGTATCTAATTTCATATTTCAACAATTCCTTTTCTAATATTTGAAACAAAAATGTCTGGCCCGGGTATAGTTAAGTATTCTTGTTCAGCTCCTAATTGTTTAAATAAGTATTATTCTAATATTCAGCAAGTTGGTTATTCAAATAAAACATTTTTTCATTTTCCTTCTGATGTTAAAGTTCGCCAGAACTGGTTTAAGAATTTAAATTTAACTTTAGATAATAATACTCGCTATCTTTGTGAAGATCATTTTTTGCCAGAGTCTTTTAGTAAGGTTTCCTCAAAACGTAAACGACTAGTTGTACATTCTGTACCAATTTCTTTAGATAATTATGCATCCAGTTCAAATATACAACCCGAGAGTCAGATTTCAGAATATATTGAGGCTGAAGCACAAACACAGCAGCATAAGATAGATTTGCTAATCAGCAACGAAAATCAAGAAATAAGTTGCAAACGTAAACTAAATATTAGTGATGTACAATTTGAACAACCCTCCAAACGTCTGTTAAAAATGAAAGGTCCTTTTAATATCATCCTGAATTTATTATACATATAATGCAACACATTTATGTGCAGAAAATAAAATTATACTTAATATTTTGAATAACAAATTTTAATCAGATTTATTAAACCAATTAGATTTGTTAATTTAAAGTTAAAACAATTCAAATGGACTATTGCATTATGAGGAATAAACAGAAATAGTTTTTTTCCATACCCACATGGATATAGCTATTCTACTCACAGACTACAAAATGAAAAAGTAAGCCATTGGGTTCAAGTCATGTATCCATTCTACCTAGTAAGAACACTGCATGGATATGAAATCCACCAATCACAGTTCATTATTTGTTCACTGGGCTATTATTAATTTTTTAAATTTTAAATGTCACAATTTTGTCAAACTAATTGTCAGTATATTTTTTAGTTCTTGAAATTAATTATGAAAATAAATTAGTAAGTCATAAATTATTTTTAAATTGGAAATTTTATCTTAGTTACCCAAAATAATTTTAAAAAATTGGAAATTTTCGTTAGAGGGTCGTAGAAAAAATATACTGGACAACTAGAGTGGATTGTCCTTATCGCACTCAGATGATTGAACACTCCACGTACTGCGTCGTTCTCAATCTTCGTCAAATAATTAAAAATAACTTAGTTTTATAAAAACATTTTGATAAGAGAAATTGTTCAATAACATATATGTACACTTTTTGTTTTGTTTTTATAGGAAACACCTGACGCCCATCAAAGTATGGTCCATTTTTACAAGAATGTGGGGAAACTAGTATTCATTTCACTTACAATTGTTCTTTATTGTCACATTATGTATGTATTACTGTATAATAAATAATTTAAATATATTTGTCTTATATTTTATTTCAGTGTAAATATTTTTTGTATACATTTTTTGGGGTTTTATAACTAAAAAAAACTAATATATATATGTTAAATACAATATTTTAATATAAATATTAGTTTTTCTTTTTAAAGTAATGAACCCCACAAAATATAAATAAATAAAGGATATTTGAATGAACCGCGCTTACGTTAACACTCTTCTTTTTTTTATGCCTCTTACTGACAAATCAATCAGCCAGTGTAGTTCAAAAAAGATCCGTTCCATACTAATTCGCAGCACTACGTTTCCAAAGATTAACACAGAATCCGACCATCTTCTTTATTAGTTTATCTATGATCTTTTAGCTTATGAGAACAAGATAACGTTATGATCTCAGAGTAGTTATGATAACGTTATAAGGAAATATGACAAAGATAAAATGCCAGCTGACCCTGATGACTATTATATCTAAATGTCAATCAATTTTTGCTATGAAGTTAATCGTCTCGTGTTGTCTCTGATTATAGGTTTACTTTGACCGTCCGTCCGATGTCATGCTTTTTGTCCTCACGGTAACTCAATAACGAAAAATTAAGAGTTTAAGGGGGAGGTTGAAATTAAAAAAAAATCATAAATCAAAAACGAAAAGTCATATCAACATGAAATTTTTCCTTCTAAACAATAATGAGGGGAAGTTCTGTCTTGCTGAAAGTATAACTTATCCTCCTGCAATTTATCTAAGTTCTCTTCCTAGCACTGAATGATGAGAAAATGTATTAATTCTTCCAAAAATTCTAGATATCTAGGTCCAGTTAAATTTTCGTGGTAGCAAATTGGACTAATTATTTGGTTATTAAGAATTCCAGCCCATATATTCATTTTTATTGTAGAAAAAATATAGCAATTTAAAAAAATATTAGCTTACTGTGTTAGAAAAGTTTATAGAGACACGTGGAAAGTCGATAGATTTGTCTTTAGCCACATATGCTCTCCATTTTGTGGTAGATATTATTTAATTCTCCAAAAATACGAATGATACTACTGAGGAACTAAATATATTTTCTTGGAACCGTTTCCTTTAAATACGTTATATTTTTATTAGATATTTTTTATCCTTTTCAGGTTCAATTATTACAAACCTAGTCGTTTACCGAACTTGTTACATTATACTTGGATACAACAAAACAGATTGCATTCAACTAGGAACTGAAACGAACAATGTAACTAAAAATTTAGAAAAATTGGTCGAACCAACCGCTGATGTTATCAATATGGTTAGAACGGTACTAAATTCTCTAGTTCCTATTTTTATTTGTATGATGGCAGGCCCTTGGTCTGATAAACATGGTAGAAAACCCTTTCTACTTATAACTTTAATAGGTTAGTATATTTAAAATTTGAACTTAATTAAAAAGAACAATATTAATTTTTGTTTAAAAGCTCTTCATATAATTTGATGCCTTTAACTATTAAACTAAAATATTTTTATAAAAATAATTTTAATTCTATAACGTTTGTTTTAGGTACTTGTCTAAGTCCTCTTTTGATGGTGGTCTTCAGTTACTTTGATAATGTGAATCCATGGTATTTTCTGATATCATTAATACCACAAATTATTTCTGGAGGTACTATAACGTACCTTGCAATTACATTGGCCTATATTTCGGATATATCAACTCCTGAAACAAGGGGGATTCGGTAAGTATATACATGTTTTTATTGAATTCAAATCGAGATCGTTTTCCAATAACAAATTAAGTAAAAAAGCGAAATTTTATCAAAATAATCCAACTAGTCACAGCATATTTTTATCTTGTTGATATAAAATTTTAATGGCCCCAAATTAAAATATCAGCATTAAGTTACTTTCTTCTTATTTTCCTTTTGTTTTTTGCGTCGCAGAATTTTTTGGTTCGTTAATGCCTATATAATCCCATCTATTGAAATAGAAAATATTCCCTCAATAGTATCATTTCAACTTTTCGATTTTTACGCCTACTAAATTTAATTTACATGAGCTCTTGATCTATTTTGACTATCCCATACCTACCAGTTCTTTAATTTTTTCTTTACTTCACACATTTCTCACTTACATGAGACTGAACATAATTTGGAAACAAACTGATGAGATAGCTTTTAGCCTCTTATTGTAATTTTACCTCATTTTGATAAATACACGGTTTTACCCTGAAAGTTTACTTGTAGTTCTTTACTTTCATTGAAAAATTATAGATATAAATATGGTTAAATGATCGTCTCTGTTTCAAATACTTAGGAAATAGTATGGCGACCTTTGTATTTACATAGTCCCCAGTAGGTACATTGACTATTGGATTTTGTAACTCCTGTACACGCCAAACTTGTTGAGTGGCTTCATAACACCAAGTCGGACAAATTTTTTTCATATACTTATTCACCCTGGGCCTGGGACATTTTTGCTCTAGCTCTTCGTAAAGTTGTCGTTCTGGCATCCCTAAGAAAGTTGAAACATGTACCTGTAGTTTTAATGTGAATCGACAGTTTTTTATATTACAATAACGATATTACATTTGTCGGACAACAATCACGTGGATTTGGGGGGGTGGGGTCTGACGCCTCAACATGTTACTGTGGCGTCCCTAAGTAAGTTGATACATGTTATTGTAGTTTTAATGTTAATCGACGGTTTTTTTTTTTTCTATAAAATTAACGAAATCACATTTGTCGGACAAAAATCACGTGATTTTGGGGGAGTCGGGCACCCCCAACATGTCGCTGTGGCGTCTCTAAGGAAGTTGATACATGTATGTCGGACAAAAAAATTAAGTATTAACTTCAGTTGGACAAAAAAAAAGTCCAAAAAAGTCCAAAAAATAGGGTTACCATGTAGCGTACTCCATATATAATAATATAACCCTTGCTATGATTGTTATTATTGTAATTTCTGTAATTATTATTATTGTTATTATTTGGGTCATAGGTATTTTTTATTATATAAATTATATTTTTATAAAATATTATAATTATTCGATAGGCTTACACTCTTCCCATGCACATTTTTTCCAAGGCTGGAATTGTTTATACTATGTTTTTTATGAACTGATCACGAATATCAACATAAAGAAGCTTAATGTTGCGGCATTTAAAAGTTATAAACAAATTAATTTAATTAAATTAATTTAATTTAATATTCGGAAAAAAAGCTTACATTTTTATACATCTTTTGAAACCATGCAACTTTTGTTTGAAATTTTTTTCATAATTTAACAAACAAACTTTTTACAGCCGTTTAAACAATTAATTTGTTTATAACTGTTGAATGCCGCAACATTAAGCGTCCAGGGTGAAGTACCGTAAACCGGGGCTACTTGATAAACATTTTCATCTTTGAAAGACAATACCCAACACATGAAATGTTTTCGAATGGAACTATATTTTTTTTAGGTTACTTTAGGCTGAGCAGAATCGGATAGTATATATATATATATATATTATTAAAAAATTAATAGGGTTATTTTCAAGACGCTTCATGGGCGAGGCGGCTTGAAAATTACTTGTTTTTCAAGTTGAGTTCAAGTAAAACGTATAGCAGAGGCGTCTTGAAAGTAAAAAAAAAAGTTAAAATTAGGTATATGCGATAACCACATAGTAAGGAATAAAACGTGTTGGTTTTAAAATAACACAAAATTTTATTAAATAAACTAAACAGTCTCATACAAAACGTAAAAAGGAACAAAAATGTCTTGGCTAATAACAAAAATAAACACATTCTTGGAATAATATAGATAAATAAATATTTATATAACTACCCCTACATATTCTTAAACTGTAGCTGTCAGCTTCTTGATTATTTCTGACACATTCACGATTCCTTTATCCTCTGCTGTGGGAAAAACATATGCATCATTTACTTTACTCTCCCTAAGAAAATGGCAAAAAATGTGCTTTAGTTTTAACGGGTTAATATTTTGGCCACATATTTTCTAGTGGTTCCATTTTCTGTTGCCATTTGAACAAAAATAAAGTCACCAGCAGTCAAATCATGAGTAAAGTTAGCGTCTATAGAAACATTTAACAAATTTTTGTCATTTTCGTTTGTATTTTCCAAATCAGAGAATAATTCTGCATCTACGTCGCTATCAGTATTAATAATCATCACTTCCATTTATTTATCGCTATCTGAAGAAGAAGAATCGCCATGAAGAATCGCGATGAACAATCGACTTCCTTCGTTTTTTAGAATTTTTAACTTTCATAGTTGTTGAAACATTTCGAGTTTGAACATTTGAAGTTGTTGGAACACTTATTGGTGAAAAATCTTCCCGTGAGATGCTCTTTCTAGCTTCTATGTTCAATTTTTTTTCTGCCTACAGATGAACCAGGAGTTTTAAAGCGAGATTTTTCAAAGATTATTGTTAGGAATTTCGTCATATCGTCTACTTTTTGACGTCCGTCCGCTTCTGTCTGGGGCCGTTTTTTAAAATTTTTGTTCTATCGATAGGTTGAATGTTTGTAGCTACAAATCCAGACTTTATGTTGGTTTCATTATTTATACCAACTTTATTTAATGCCTGTTTCAAGAGCCTTGGAAAGACATCTTTTCTAACAACCCCCGCATTATGCTTTTTTCACTGTCTTAAAATTTGTCTCCATGCGTTCTTGATGGGACGAAATACACCGACATCTAACGGTTGTGTCATATGTGTGCTGTTGGGTGGGAGTAGGACGAAACGGATATCATTCTCTTGACATTTGTCAATTACATTCATTGATACATGGCTTGCTAAATTAGAACCTTCGGACCTTGTGGTAAGCTTCTGAAGTAGGCAAGAATTATATTTGTGAACCACTCTTCAAAAATATTAGCGTCAAAACAGCTAGACTTTCTGCGATTATATCTAGCATTTGCTGGTCCATTTTCGGTCCAAGCGGACCACAAATGATCCGCCTTTTAAACTATATAAACTGGAACTAATTGTCCTGCCGCTGAATATACAAACATCACAGATGTGACTGCTTTCGAGGTATCCATGATTTTTTCAGCCCTTTTACATGTTTTTCGAACGATTACTCCAAGTCGCCCAGGATCGTCAGTAAAGTTTGTTTCATCATAGTTCACAATGGCTTCCGGGGGTACACCTGTTAAAACAAAGATTGTCGAAAAATTTGTTGATAGTGTCTTGATTAACTTTAGCCCTGCTTTGTTTTATTGATTGAGATAATCTTGCTGACAGAGTTTATGTTTTTTCAAGAATTTTTCCATCCAAGTTTCGCCTGGTGTATTTTCTTTGAACTTGTTTATTATTTTACCACTTCTTTCGAGATAGTTTTGCACTAAATCTTTAATTTCGTCACTATCACAAAGAAATCCCCACTCAGCTGCAATGGAAATACATTTAACCAGAGTTTCTTGCTCATTATTTGTAAGGACCGTCTGACCACCAGCTGGTTTGGATGTATTTTATTTTTCTGTACAATGTAGCGTACGGTATATCATATTTTGTGGCAATGGCTATCAAATTGCCTGGCTCATACTCCGCCACTGCCAGTTCTAATTTTTCTTGGGTATAATCGCGATATTTTCTACTTCCGACCTTTCTTTGATATTTGCGTACCATTTTCAAATCATCCCTAAAAAAATAAAAATAAATAATATGAGACGCCCATGTCGGAAAATAAATACCAGTTGCAGTTTGAGGTTAGAATGGAATTAACAACTAAATAAACTACTTATTAGAAAAAAAAATACATTGAGTTTCTATTATTTACCCGAATCTCTGTATGATAGAACGTACATGAGAGACAAAATAATTGTATTTTCTTACCTCAAACTTGAGAATATTCAGTTCTTTAACAACAATGTTTACCGCACCTAATACCACCTATTGTTTCTAAACAAATATGCGCTAGTTCAGTGATGATGTAATTATGGTTCCACTGACAATTAAAGTGACAGTAGATTTTTTGAGTGCGTTTTGTTCGTTTTGTTTACCTAAATTATACCGTTCTTTCACTTAATATAAATATATTCCTAAAGTAAGTAGCTAGCATGCATTAAATATACAATCGCCTAGTTACCAATTACATACCTTTAAACTATTTTTTATGACTTGTTAACAATATTTAGAAATAAACTAAACACAGTAAAAACGTATATATGTCAAATTTATTGATGTTTTTGTTACAAGTTTGGTTAGAATTAAATGTCAGTGGAAACAAAATGACATCACACTGAACTAGCGCATTAGTGCAACACCATCTACGACGTCCCGGGTCCCGTAGTTGCAAGGCCCGATTTTATTTCATTATAAGATGGCGGTAAAAATTTGCAGTGTGCGCTTGGGCTATTATGATTTGATTCTGTATGCGCCAGGGATACAAATCCGACTTGCGCAATGTATAAACTGGAACATTGAGATCAAAAGCGCCGACGCAGAGTGAGCCAACTGATTTTTTAGCTATAAACTGTGGTCAAACGTCGGTTGACTGTAGGCAATAATCCAGTGGCGTTACATGAGTTTTCAAATGCCTCCTTATTTGCAAGTAGCCCCGGTTTACGATATATGGAAAAAGTTATCCGACTTGGTGTTATGAAACCGCTTAGGAAGTTTGGCGTATACAGGAGTTACAAAATCCAAAGGCCAATGTGCTGGGCATTTACATTCTCAGAAAACTATAGAGGGATTTATTAATTTTAATATTAATATTATCTATTGAATTTTTTAGAATGGCATTTTTTGAAGCAACCCTTGCATTTGGCGTTCTTACTGGAAGTGTAGTGAGTTCATACATATTTTACGCTACTAACTACGAATTTATATTTGCTATAGCTGCAGGATGTGTGCTAATTGGAATTTTATATACAGTTTTTGTTATTCCAGAATCTTTATCAAGCCTAGAACGTACTTTAGATGATTCAAATAGCTCAATGGTACGTATGAGATGAAATAAATTAATATTTTTATCCACGACTCAAATAATACTTATTATAATTGTTTCTTCAATTATAACAACTTTGATTAATCATTAAACACTCCTTGAATTTCATATGAGCGGTCACTGCCAACTATCAATTTGTTTTTGAGTATTTCTTCATTAGGTAAGTTCTGTAGTGATAACAATACTGAACGCTCATGTGTTATCCCCAAGAGCCACTCGTAAATTTCCTTTTATTCTACTCAACATCGATGTACTTCTCAATTCTCTTCGAGGCTTGTATGAGAAAATGGGGCACCTAAATTGGTCACTATCTGACGGTCTATAATGTAATAACTCATTTAAGATGAATTACAAGTTTAAAAGTGATAGTGATTCTCCATCTGAGATGAAAGATATAGCAAACTATACAATTTCAAAGATGATACCGGCGAAGTCCAAACTAAGCATGGAGTATACATAAAACAACATAATGAACCATAGATAAAAGATAAAATATACATATTAATTTATCTATGCAATAAACCGGTTACCCAATTAGGAAACAAGGTAGAACCTGAGCCAGAACTCACTCATAAAAGGCAAATACCTGGAAAATTATTTTAAACCAGTCCCGCCTGCAAAAAGTCCAGACGATGAAGAAAAAATAAAAAATAGGCTTGAAACACCACTACAAATTTCTCCATTACCAGAAGTTTTTACAATAAAAGAAGAAAAAGACATAAATAAAAATAGTTTAATTCAAACGAAGCTCCAGCCTACGATTTGATTAGAGGAATCCCATAAAAACTACCCAAAAAAGGTATTTATCCTGCAATCATAGGACACTTCTCTCCATAGTTAAAATTCTCCAAAGATACCCCTATTTCCAAACCTGGCAAACATCAAAATGAAGTCGGCTCCTATCTACTCATCAGCCTTCTTCCAATCCTAAGCTACTAATAACGAAAATAACACCGCATATCAAAACGAAACAATTCAATACTATCGTGCGAGACATTTTCAATCAATCCGGCCATGATCTTTGTTTACCTTATCGTCGTTTCGTACCGCTGGCCTCAAAACTCGAGAAGTTACTGGAAGGTTCTTTTGCGCGCGTGGAGGAGGGATTTTGAAAAGTCTAGACTAGCATCGAGATTCTCTGAGACAGGACTGGATTTTTCTAGGCCGTTACATTTTTGTATATAAGTGAATTCTTTTTTAGTTACTTAGTTTAGAAATACATATTATCGAGTAAAGATAAATTTAAAGGTGGAAAAAAAACAGGTACTTTATATCTCACAATGATCTTGTGAGATATAAAGGACCTGTTTTCTTTAGTTTTCCACCTTTATTCCAGAAAACTCACATATGGGTACCCCAAGTTTAAAAATAAATTGTTAAAGTAAATATAGTGTAATTTTGATTACAAATAAATTAGTTATAAAATAAGTTGGTGTATTTAGTGAATATAAATTAGAATAATTAAACTGTTTAAAATAAATAAACGTAACATTGGTGTGAGAAGTTGAGAAACTGTAAATAAATGGATACAAATGGCTAAAAAAATGTGTGGTTCAAAAGTGACCGATCTACGTCGGAAACTAGGAATATCGCGAGTTGGAGAAAATAGAAAGTGAGGGTTTGGATCCGGAAACGTATCTATTTTCAGATGATGCGGCTTCTACTATAATTTCTTAAATTTCTTCCGATATGGGAAGTAAGATCTCTTTCATGGAAACTAAATTTTTTTTCGATATAAATACGAAATCGCTTCTTTAAAAGATGAAATGTCTTTTGATATGTATTCTGTAAAAAACTAAATCTCTTCTTTAGAAACTAAAATTTCTTCTGATATATCTTCTCTAAACACCAAAATTTCTTCAGACTTGCAAAGTAAAATGTCTTCTCCAAAAAATTTAATTTCTGCTGGCTGGTATGGAAAATAAAATGAGTTCCATTGACGAGAAAATAAAAGAGATGGAGGAGAAGATAGAAGAAATATAGTAAACAGAATATGCAAAGAAAGGTGAAATAAAGTGCCATGAAGTGGAATCAAAGTTCAAATTGGAAGACATTGTAAATTTTACCTGTTTTAAAGCTCAACTTTCGACGTAAAGATGCCATATGGTGTATGAGATAATATAAAATATTTGATATGAAGTCACCGTTAAATAGTTTTTTTAAGAACAAACCGAATAGCTTAAAAATTTCAAATGCCTTCTGAGCCTTTATTTAGTTCTATTTTTGTTGAAATTTTCAGGAAATACCAATAACAACAAAATTTAGGGTGGAGAAACCTTATTTTTTGTAAACCTTCGAAAAGTATTTATTTTGATAATTTTTAAATGTGAGGATTTCTCACCTTTTTTTTTCTTAAACGTCTCTAAAGAGTGCTGCCTTATCGTTGCCCAATATTCTCGAGACACATAACATCGCGAAGTATTTCCAGTGGCACACTTATAAATACAATTTTATATTAGAAAATCCTCACCACATTTTGCTTTTCGTAAGAATTCCGGTTTGCTCTTAAACTGGGAAGAAAATATGTTTTACGGTTAATAATTGTACACCCAATAAAACCTTTTTTTCCACATAGATGAAAACAATTTTTTTAAACATTTTTATTTTTCAGGACAACCCTTTTAAATACATCACAGATATGATTGGAACTACTTTTAAACAACGCGAAAACAATGACAGATCTTTAATTCTGCTATTAAGCACTGCACTTATTCTCTTTACTTTCGCTAATAATGGAGACAATTTCATTCAATTTATATATTTAAGGAAAAAATTAGACTGGAACTTAACAAAATATACATTGTATTATGGTATGACCAGTTTTCTTTGGGCTACAGGAGCACTCACTGGAACATTCCTGTTTCACAATAAATTAAAAATTAAAGAGTGTAACTTAGCTCTTTTGGGAACGTTATCAATAATCGGATGTTTTATTTTGCAGGAGTTAGCTTTTAACGATTTATATATTTACCTGGGTTAGTATATCTTTAAAAAAATATTAAGTACATTTCTCAAGAATTAAATATTTGCCATATTCTAAAATGTGGTCCTTTTCTTTGACGAAAGAGTAAAACTCGAATCAACACCATAATGTATTTATTGAAACAAATAGAAAAAAGTATTACAGGCCTTGTAATGAAGTTATTTTTCATCACTATATTTCTAATCAATTGTCGGGATCTATATTCCAATTTTTGGTTTACTTTAACGTTTAACGTGGCTCGATGTTTCTTCTAGTCTAGCCTTCTATGCGCGAACCTCGATCTCTGAGGATTGGCGGTAGTATTGGACTGTAGACTGGCTTCTTTTTCAGCCAAAAATACGCGCTAGAGATGTTATTTATCATTTGAAATTCATTTCGCGACCTTTGCTGTAATTAGACCAAAAACACGCTAGCTCCAAGTTTGATTTTTCGATTTTTCCATTTCAAGGTAAACACCGGGTTTTTTATTCTAACGTTCTTATCGTCAACCACAATGATGATTTTTGCTTCACCTCGCTTCGCTTCACCGCTGTTTAAAATCCGTTTTATTTTATCGTAGGGATTATTATTGTAAAATATTTCTCGTTTTTAGAATTTTGATTTAGTTTTTACGTAGTACCTTGATTTTGAAATAATTACTTTAAAATGAATAAATAGTTGAGAGTTAAAAAAATATTTGTAAAATATTTCGTTGGATCATTCTTGGTTTAGGCGTTAGCCATTTTTGTGAGACCAGAACCAATTCTGCAGTTACGTTGCTTGCTACTGAACTCTGACCTTTGTCATTTTTGTTTGATTTCGTAAATTACCTGCTTGGTCCTTGAAAGTCTTTCCCCGTACTCTCTGAGTAAGAAGTAATTTTCCTTAGCAAGATAGTAAGAGTTAAATGTTAGTCCAACTCCGAGTCAGTAGTAGATATGGACCTTATCGTTTAACTAATTCAATAGTTATTTTTTCCCGAACGGTACCTATAATTTTTAATTTAATTAAGGTTATTCGGAAGTCATATATCGGCCGTTTCGTTGCTTGATTTTTGTTAAAATCATTACCAGATGCGTTGAGATATTTATTTAATTTGATTTTGTATTATTTTGAACCCAATATATGTGTCACATATGTGATATTGTGTCGTTACTAATTTCCTTGCATTACTTTCCTCTTACTTTTCAACCAGAGAAAAATTCTTAAAGCTTGTTGCTTGTGGCTACTTATTTCCTGTGTCTTATTGAACTTTGACCCCTGGAATTTTTCATCTCCATCTGTTGCTGCCCGAATACTTTCGACGCTGCTTCGAGAGTTTGTGACGTGAACTACATTAAATAATCTGGCGCCCGAGAGCCCTCCGTAAAAAGCGTCAGTCGTAAGGAACCGTTTTCTCTGTAGCGAGAAAACATCTTATAGCCTTATAGTCTGAAGCTAGTATAACCTCTTTTTTCTATTTGTTTCAGTAAATACGTTTTGGTATTAATTTCAAGTGTTATCCTTTCCTCAAGTACATTTCTATTCAATGTCAATCTCTTTTTTTTAGCTGGATTGGCAAGATTATTCGCAGGTTTAGTTAGTCCTATGTTAAGGGCACTGGTATCGAAAATGGTGCCACCACATGAAGTTGGAAAAATTTTCTCTGTGACCATGATCGGTGGAGCAATATTTGATTTAGGGGCATCTCCTTTATATACATTGGTGTACAATGATACTATCAATACTTATTCTGGAATATATAATGTTATTTCTATATTTGTTGTTGGTTTGACTGCGCTTTTAATCGTGTAAGTATGAAATCACTGTTCTAACAATTATTGAGTATCTACAGGGAAATCGCAACTTAGTGTAAAGGGAAGCCCATTTGGAATATAACAAAAGTAACACACCTATCTACTGCAATGAATAAAATTGATTTATGTGCAGAAAAGCAATTTTTACCCAGTTAACTATTAGTCCGAAGACTACTAAAAATGTATTTAAATTTTTTTTTTTTTTTGTTACTTTACAAGTAATTCTCAAAAATATCTAATTCGAAATACTGAGGTCCTCACGCGCAACTCGTTGCATAAAAGAAACGAGATATTAATAAATTTTGAATATAAGACCGAAAAACGTAAAATTTTCAGGTTTTTGAAACATTGGCGTTTTTTTTTTTTTTTTTTTTGTTACTTTACAAGTAATTCTCAAAAATATCTAATTCGAAATACTGAGGTCCTCACGCGCAACTCGTTGCATAAAAGAAACGAGATATTAATAAATTTTGAATATAAGACCGAAAAACGTAAAATTTTCAGGTTTTTGAAACATTGGCGTTACTTGGGCAAAATCGCATAGAGGATCATCACATTGCTAGCTTTGGTTTTCAGAAACCATTCCATGTTGCCTTTTAATTGGGATTTGTAAATTGTTTAAACATTTAAGGCTGCTCATGTATTGGTTAATTTATTCCTTAAGCCTGTTTATGTAAAAATATTTTCGCTTTGTTCCTTAAGCCTGCTTGTGTAAAAATATTTGGTCTTTTAACCTCTTTAGCTTACACATTAAAAATATTTGGTCTCTCTACTACATACGTCTGCCTAAGTGAAAAAGGATTTAGGATGTGGTATCATTTTCCCCTACCTTTGGATAAAGGTGACTCTGGCCCTTCTCCATGATTCTGGTATATATCACAATTCCAGACTGCTCCGGGATATCTGGATTATATGTGGTAGTAATTCGCTGAAGAGGGGCAGAAAATATTCCATCTACACCTGGAGACTTAAATTGTTCAAAAGTGTCCAAGGCCCACCTTAACCGATTGCTGCTACAAATGTGTTTGGCCACTGCAACGGCCTCTCTTGAGGGCCTGCGTACCTTACTTGTGTCCTTTATTAAAAAAGGTGTGCTTACAGTTTAGAGTAAGAGACGAGCTCTTTCCTCCTCACTCTCCGTGCAGCTTCCATGTGTTTTCTTTAGAGCCATAGCTGTATCTATTTTTTTGCCGCAGGTATAGAATTAATCTCGCAAATTTTCCTGAAGCTTTCCCGATTTCTATGTTGTAGGTGGTAAGTGCATTGGTGTAGCCAGTTGGTCTGCCAATCTCTGCTGTGCTTGGCCTTGTTAGAGAGTTTTTGTACTTTGGATCTTAAGTTTCACAGATGACTGTTTAACCAAGGAACGTCCCTACTAGTTCTATTTGGTTAAAAGGGACAGCTTGATGCATATGCCTCAAGTATTGCCTCATTCTTAGTTTCTAGATAGCTTTCCAGAGCTAGTGGGTGTCTGCTAAATTTTGTTTCAGAGTGGTGTTGTATTTGTCACAATCTGTTTTTTTAGGATACCTGCTGAGAATCGCCTGGAGAATCTCGTGTAATTATCTTGTGATCAAAGACAGATGGTTTACTTGATACTCTCCAGTTTGTAACTGGATCTTTAATGCTTGGTGTACTTAATGTGACATCTAATACCTCACTTCTTACCCTTGTTACAAATGTTGGAGTATTCCCAATATTTTGCACAATAAGGTTCTTATTATAAATATATACTAGAAGTTGCTCACATCTTTGACTGGTGTCGTTGCTTCCCCATATGGTACTGTGCGCGTTGGCGTCGCATCCAAGAAGTAATGACAGATTTCCTCTCTGACAGTTCTCCACTAACCTCGATACTTCTGGGGGTGGTACAAGCCCATCCCCTGCGAAGTAACTAGAAGTTATTACTAGTCTTGCCGCCTCATCCCAATTTCGAGGGATTGGGATGAAAACCCGCGTCATAAATCCTGAAAGAATAATACATGTTCTGGGTACTTTATCACTACTGTGATAAATTACCTTTGCAAATTTACATGTAAGTCCTCTTACCTGGTTTCCATAGGCCCAATTCCGAATTTTCAAATTATTTTTATTTAGGATCTATTTTTTACTAAATATGTAAAGGACACGTTGGTTGGGATTGAGTACGAAAGTGTAGAGAAAAGGTTCTTTATTTTACACAAAGTCAATTTTAAATTAGCGACCAGTTTCGAAATGATTACTTCATCATCAGGCACATCTAAATGGAAAGCCATGGAGTCAGTGCATTGAAAGGTGGAAATTATTTAATACCAAAATGAAAATTGAACAAAAAATAAAATAAAGGTCAAAAAGGGTGGTTAATAATAATTTGACTTACCATGACATATACATTACGGATAAGCTACGTAATTTTAACATAGAAATAGTTAAAAGTCACTGTGAATATATATTTATATAAGAGAGATTTTTATTTTTTTAAAGGTTAAAAACCCAAAACAAACTAGAGGTGCCTCATTTAGGTTGGAGGAACCAAAACCACTACTTGAATTAAATAAAACAATAACAATACAAGGTTACGATCAAACGTTTTAAAATTTTTATAAAATCAAGACTAGACAAATTAAAAATAAATTAAATAGCATAACTTTTTATAGAGATAAGATAGTAAAATCAGAGACAATCCAGCGAGACGTGAAACTCAATGTATTTTTTTTTTGTTCGGTAAAAGTTATTTGGGCGATTGTAACCACAACCAGTCTATGATGGCGCCACTAGTAAATAGCGGGAAAATTAAAAATGCTTTAGGGCGGGAAATTCAAACATAGATTCAGAAATAGTTTTTCTATACAAATTTACAGGAGAAACAAAAACTATTGTTTCACTGTATATTAAAAAATATTAAAGCTTCCAATAACATCAATTTTTTTTATCATATAAATAATCATTTTAATAAAGGAAGTTTTAATCAGTTTAATATAAGCAGTGAACATAGTTTTTATTACTCTTGTAAATTTCGCTAAAAAAACTTGAAAATTCTATTGATTATTAAATATTTAAACTTGGAAAAATAATACACCAAACTATTTTTCTATAAATTATATTTTTTTAAGGTACAGAAGAACAAACTACAATTGCTTCGTTTAGAAAGTACCTCCTATCATTTTGTGACAAATTACAAAGAAAGTAACAGTTGTTATATATTCAAAATATATTTAAAAACTAATGTAACAAATATTTTATAAAGTATAGAGTATATCGATACCTTTTTGCCAGACTATCATAAGTGCCATTTGAACAAATGTCGCTTACATTAGTCTGGCAAAAAGGTATGGATATGTTATGACTGTTTATTTTAATAGAAACCATGGAAACGAAACAAACACACATACACTCAACCACATACCTTGATTACTATACGAGGCAAGAGAGAGGTCCGACACGCCCAACATAGGGCGCGGCCATTTTGAACCCTGTGACACAGTTTACAGCTAAAGAATCAGATCGCTCACTCTGCGTCGGCACTTTTGATCTCAATGTTTCAGTTTATACACTGTGCAACTCGGATAATACTATATATATGACAACCGCCTATAATAAAACAGCAGTCTTCTGCGTATCCTGAATTTGTATCCCTGGAGTGGATGTTATTTTGGAACTTTCAACTGGTCCGAGTGAGCTAACTGATTCTTTAGCAATAAACTGTGACTTCAAAAATAATATTCACTGACACTGACAGCAGCAAGCAAAATATCAGGTGCGTTTTAATCATCCGCTTCTGCTTCCGGAATTGTCGGTTTAGTAGTTTTAACCTGTCAGATTAAAACAAGAAAACCGACAATTCCGAAGCAGAAGCGGATGATTAAAACGCACCTATTAAAAATATTGCGCCAAGATGTAGGCAACACGTAATAAGGGTTCAAAAAGGCGGAGTTTACTATCTCCTTTTAAAAGGCACTCAGAAAGCTGCGCAGTGCGACCATTCTCCGTATAGTAAAAGAAAATCAAAGTATGTGCACTCAACACAAATGTATAAGGCCCGAGTTGAGTAAGTTCCCATCCTGTAAACTGGATCGAAACCTGCTAGACCCATTCCGTACACCCCCTGCTAACTCCTCTTAGGATCATCAAGATCAATAATTTATATGCCATGCCTTCTAAAAGGGAATTAAGGATGACATACTATCATCATTTAAACAGGACATTGCTGAAGGCTTACCCCTGTTATTTCGTTTGTTTGTGTATCTTGTGCGTGTGCATTCCTGTTGTGTCCCCAGTCATGTAAAAGTTTTCCTAGTCTCCTAATTTGGTTACTAGGTGGACCTTTTCCAACTAGTAGTCTAATCTATTCGATCTGTTCTGCAGCAGGAGGTACTTTTCAAACATAGCAAATAATAATAATAAACACTATTTAAATATGAATACATTTTTGTAATTTTTTTGTCATTGCCTCTTACCTGTCTCTTACACCACCAGGGTATACCTATTTTCCACATTCCCTTAATTACAGATTACCTTACAATGTTTGAATGAATATAACATTTTACCCATGAAAAATCTAATTTTTCAATTTCATTTGAAACAATTGGTATATTACAATTTATTATCAAGGAAATCTTCTAATAAAGTTATAGCAAATCACTTAAACTACTGGTTGTTCTGCAGGATAAATTAAACTTTTCTTGAGATTGATCTATCTCTAAAATCCAAAACCGACCTGATGTCCCCAAATTTATTTTCCAATGCACCCTGATTTAAAATTCTGCCCTTTTGTGATTCAATTTTTTTTCTTCCTTTAAAGTGGCTATTAGAGGTAGGTGTATGTAAGAAATAGCCAATCTCTAATCAGTTCAAAAGTCCTTTGCCAATACTACATGTGCAGATTTTTTACTCGGTATACATTTTACATTTTTAGTAGGTAGGAACTTTGTGCTACCATTAAAGCTGTCCAGACATTCATCTACCTACTTAATGAACAAAAGTAGCTGTAACAATGGATTTCTGTTCCAATTCACCTAAAATAATTATAGCCATTTTGTAATATATTATTAAACACACACATTATACAGTGGTTTTCTTAATAAATTGGAAATTACTTACCTCTAGAAAGAAATGTGTACAAAGACGCGAGTTTGGTTCCAGAAATTGCTTCATGCAAAAAATAATATGCAAAAATAAACAATCCCCCCCCCCCAAAGAAAATTAAACAACAAAATCAGACTCAAAGAAATAAACGGGGCCCAAATTAAATTAATTTTAATAAAATGCACACGTTCATAACATTGTCAGTTGTCAGTTTTAATCAATACGTCAACGTCAAAAAACCAGCAACATCAGCGACCTCTTAAATTGGTGTTAGTTTTATTGGAGGGAGATAAATATATGTAAAGATCAATGTAAAAGAGAAAGAAAGTCATATAAGTAATTTAAATGGACCACCGAACACTTTTTCCTATTAAGTTACACGTCTCTGTTGTCTCTGGTAAAATCAATGATAGTCTATCTTCTTCATCTGTTAGTTTTTTGGCCTCCTCCCTTAAGGTGTTTAGCCAGAGCAGGTAATTTAGCTTTTATTACGGGAATATTCATTAAAGAACGTTTGGAATTTTCCATCTTCTCATTGAAAAATCCATGTTCACTCTTTTCCATTGATTATACTAATTTAAAACATCAGGAGCTGATATTCTAACTAATTGGACCATAAACTTGAGAACGTGTTCTCTATCATATTAATTTAATTTACTAGCTATATTCACTATATATCAATTACATACAAATTCAAAAAATTTTGACGCACAAATACTAAACACATAAGACAATATTCACTTCTCGATGACCGATTTTATTAAAGATTTTATCGGAAACATACAAACTTGACTTCCAATTCTGAGACTGCCATTTCGATGTTGATACCACGGTGTCAGAATCGGACGTATGACAGTCTATCTATAAAATTAGTCAACAAATAAAACGTAGGTATATGTAATTACTCTAGTGAATTATATTCACCTGATGTTTAATGAAAGTAAATATAGATGGCTTTAAAAAATTAAAAATTTATTATTAAAAGATAATGGAAATTATAAATAGCAAATTATACATAATAAAGAGAATAAACGCCAAATAAGAAAATCTGATTATATTGTATCGAAATTGAAACCGGCAATCAACAGAAAACTGTTTTTGTTTGGTGGGTATTCTCTATATTATGTAAAATTTGCTATTTATAATTTTCATTTTCATTAGCGTTTAATAATAAATTTCTTTTTCTACGCCCATGTCAGTAAACGTTAAAAATCGCACTCTCAACATTCCTTGTAAATGACATTTAACAATAACATGCACGTAATGAGATCCCATAACATACACGTGCGTTTTGATAAGAAAACTTAAATTTCTTAGTTTAATCAAATTGCAATCAAATTTTTATCTACGTAAGACTTTATTTGGTTTATTTACATAAATTTAGTCAATTTAAAAACAAAAACTTTTAGCATTAGCGAGATACATTTTGGATTAAAAAAGTGATGCCCTTAAATGTCGGCAACACATTATACAATTTTAAAAAACTAAGTCGCGTGTTCTAAGCATGCTATGGAAATAAACGTCGTTTCGTTTATATTGTCAATTTTTGTACCAAAATATTATTGTATTAGAACATTTTCTCAACTTTACCTACGAATATGTCTGTTATTAGTAAAAGTGATGAAATTATGAGCACCCCGCCGGAGATTTTAGAAAAAGCTAAAGATGCCACACCTAATTTGTTACCGCTAAGCTAAAATCCAAAGAAAGATTCGAAATTACCTATCGAAAATTTATGGATTGGAGACCCAAGCATAACGTAAAATCCTTTTCGGAGAATGCGTTTTAAATGGGCGTAGAAAAAGTATAGTACATTACACGAGTTGTAAGCCCATTACGCACTCGTGAAATTTACGCACTCGCCGATGCGCGGCTTCGTGCGTAATGGGTTACTTACAACTCTTATTACGTAATATACTATTTTTTATTAATAAATTTCTATTCCACCTTATGATTTAATGAAAGAAATGAATTGTGAGCGGGAATAAAACTGTTAGATAGGGATATTTTGGAATGTTGAATTGAAGCTAAAAGATACAGATTGGATAGATACTATTAAATTTAAATAAAGAAAAATGTAAAGGTGACAGAAATTTTATTTAAAAAAAATATATAAAGGAGAAAAGTAGACACAGGCAGACAGGTAGAGACGCCAACAAAAGGTAAAGACATCATAGACAAGCAGACAGGTATAGAGACGGCAGAGACAGGCAGAAGTGAACAAGAGGTGGTGGACAAGTAGAGGAAGAAAACAAAAAAGATTTATTTTTGCAATTAATTTTTTATCATATTTTATATTATTGAATCCACACCTAAATTGAGATTTTATGTATTGAGCCAAAAAGAGGTCCATATATTTTTATTAAAACCAAAAATATATTTTTTAATTACGAATTCTAATAAAAATTATCAATATACACAAATATCGCCCTTAAATTCATGCATTGACGCTACTGTAAGGCTTATATTCGCTTCTATAAGAATTTTTTATTAATTTTGGAAATTACTGTATCGTAAAATATGTACATTTCATCTTTATTTATTTATTTTTTTTTTTTTTTTTTTTTTTTTAGAATTTTCAAGACTCTTGAATGTTCATCCGGCTTCCAAACACTAAATAATGAAGAACTATCCAACTCACAAAATGACGATGAAATAATATGAATACCCAGTTAATTTTTGAAGTATATTTGATTCAAAAATCAAATTTTTCCTTACTTCTGTACATATTTAGGCTAATATAACCTACAATTTTTATTTCGTGACGAATATAGGAGTTTCAATTTTTTTTTTAATTTTAGTAGGGACGCCAAAAAGAGACTTATTTTGTAAATATTTCTAATTAAACAATTGCAGAAATATGTTTAATAAAAAATAATTCATCCTTCTGTGGATAAGGTGCAATTTCTACGATCTAGTCATGCTCACATCTTATATCACATCCATCCAAAATCTAATATGTTAATAATATTAGGCATTTAGTACAGTTAAAAAATGTAAAAGATACTTATTAATATAAAGTGATTTACCAATAAAAAAAATCTTTCTAAAGTAGGCCTTGGTTAAATATACGTATGTCGAAGATCGTACGCTTCTTCTTTTTAAGTGTCAGTTACGACATGACTCTCATTTCTATCTTTGTCATTCATGACCTACATTAGAAACATTTTTGTAGATCTACCGTTACATAGAGAATAGAAATACTATAGGGTAAAGTGATAGGTAACCCCCATTTATGTGCATTTTGTGCAATTCATTATTTTTATATTTTTGACAACTTACATTAAAAATGTAGCATACCACTAAGATAAAAAACCTGTAAAATGTATACAGGGTGTTCCGAAATTAGACGGTCATGTTTTAACAGCGTAATCTACATCCTAAAATAGGAGTAAAAGTTTATATAAAGATAGGTCCGAAAACGTTTTGTTTCCGAGATACAGGGTGAAGTCCTGATGACACATTTTTGTAAATATTTTCTAAACTTTTAAAGATAACTTAGTGAAATTTGGTACAAATGCTAAACTTTTTACGCTCTATTTAATGGACTAAAGCCAGTTTTTGATCATCTTCATAGGTGGGTAAATTAGAGGAGGGATTAGGGTTAAATTGTCCTAAGTTTTTTTTGTTGACTGTTTTTAACATTTTTGACTACAAAATTTGGAAAATCAAAATTGTCTTTATAATAAAGCTACTTTTGTTGTATCCCCGCTAGGACGCACCATTTTCAAGAGAAATGCATTTGAAAATTTCATGATAAGTTGATGTTATCTTATTCGAAAGTGTAAACAATAATTAGTAGGCCTTTTTTAACTTTGGAAAACCGGTGACTAAAGAAATTTTAGAATATATTTACAAAAATTTGCCATCAGGACTTCAGTTGTAACACCCTGTATCTCGAAAACGAAACGTTTTCGGACCTATGTTTATATGAACTTTTACTTCTATTTCAGGATGTAGATTATGATGTTAAAATATGACTGTCTAATATCGGGACACCCTGTATATAACAAGAAAAATAACTAGAAACAAAAGACGATAGGATAAAAATATTCTAAAATTTATGACTATGTGATCCATTTATTTTTAAAATCTACCGAAACAAAAAATATCAAATGAGTTTAACAATTTTTTTCCAACGTTAGAGAAAAATTATCCTCTCAAATTAAAAAATTTTAATATTCCAAAAACTAATCGGTATTGTCTGCAAACTCTTTTAAAAACAAAAATATCAATAATCCCAAATAAAATAATAACAAAAAGCCAGAATCTATACCATATACCGCTCACTGGGTGCAATAGTGGCACATCACAAAATTATTAGTTTTGAGAAAATCACCGATTTGTAAAACCGATTTGAAATATTGATTATTCTATATCAACTTTTTTACCTAATTGAAAGTTTAATATTGATATGTAATTAGGTATCAAACTGTATTATTGCTACTTTTTTAATAGAGCGTCTTTTTTAACTTTATTTTTGGAAAAAACAACTAGTATTGCAGTTATTGGTTTTTTTACATGTATGATTTTTATGAATAAAGTGAAATATCTCAATGGGAATGTCTTAATAAAACTGCAGTTTAAAGTTTTAGCAACATTTAATTAAACAAAAATGGTTATCAAAATATGGTTCTGTAACTGTATAAGTTTATATAATTATCTGCAAGGTAAAAACTTAAAATTACCAACTCAAAAAACATTCCCATCTGCAAATGAACAAAACTACTATTCTGAAATTTAACAAAAAAAAACAACTATTCTTTTTCTCGTTTCAGGTTATTATAAAAGTAACATTATTTGATATCATTATTACTTTTTAACAAATGCATCAGGTCGTAAATTTTTTCTTTGGAATTGGTATAATAGCTTGGTACGAATCTGATGCAATTTTCAGGCTTGCTTTGTTAGGGCTAAAAGTATCTTTTATAAATTTAATACCTAACAGTTCTAGGATTTTTGTGCCCCTTAAATTGGCATTTTGAAATTATACAGCCACTTATTTCTGACTTTTCGCATTTCGATTTTACGATAAATAAATTCACAATTTTTATATCTGAAGCGACTAATTTAGGCCATTTGGCCATCCATCCTCAGGCCTACAATACGAATGAAAATATATTAAAACACTTGTAACCGCCCACCCCCCGATCTTGTAGCTTATTATTAAAAGCCCGTATTTTAATTTAAGTACCTCCCTCCCCTTGTGAAATTCAAAGTAATTCATACTTACTGTATTTGGCCTTTTCCTCTAGTAGTGTAGTGATCGTCTAGTTAATTAATTGATAATTTCCCAAGTAACATCTAAAGCTGTTTACATTGATTTGATCAGCAATTTAGCTGATTTTTAGATGTATAGTAGTGGCGAAGTCTGAATAAGCTAACTGTCTGATCAATAGGTTGCATAGAAGCCCTTCTGCTTCTTTGTAAACCCTTGTAGCGCTAATTAACGTTAGCTAAACTATAGGCTGTAAGAGCACTACTTAAGTCAAAGTGTATACCTTAATTCAGCTACTTGGTCTAGGCTGCACATAAAGCTGAAGAAGCTCTGGTGCAGCCCAAAAGTAGACCACTAATCGGCAATTTGAAATTTGCTGAACAATAGACTGGAAGAGCACTACTTAAGTCAACTTATATACCTTTATTCAGCTAGTTGGCATAGGCTGTACATAAAGCTGAAGAAGCCATGTTGTAGTCCTAAAGTTCATCAGTTTGGCAAAATTTATAAAAAGAATTATATTATGTTATTTATTTTTAAATTAAACAAAAAATCGGATTACTAAGTTGTAAACGAGTCTGTACAAAAGTAAAAAAGCGCTCCTTTTGTCCGCAGTCGCTGTATAATAACTGCTACCCAAGCTATTTAAAAGCTGAAGAAGCACTTCCTCTGCCCACTTTAAGCAGCTATAGGCTGATTATCTTCTCCTTTTTTAGCTGTTTAACCTAAGGAAAAGAGTCTTATAATGGCAATTAAACCTCCATTATTCAATCCGTTAGCTGAATATGTAGCTGATTAAGCGCTACCATAATAGTTAACCTACTTAAATTGTTTTTTGGGTTATATACCCACGTTGTGATAATGTTAATTAAGATTAACCAGGATTCGATGCAAAGTTTGGTACAAATTGGTGAATGAAATAATGCTCAAAATATATTTAACTTAATTTATTTTTGTTCTCAAATAAACTCAGTATGTACAAAATTTCTTTTAATATTGAGTAATGAGAAATTGTATCTCATCTAGATCTCACATGTGTCCTGCCCAAACAAAAATATGTAACTTGCCATCAAATATATGTAATAAAAACAATTCTTGATAATAGACAGCAGACGTCCTCAGAATTGCACAATTTTTAATAATTCTTTTGTTTCGTCATTTTCTTTTTTATATAGGTGCGTTTACTGAGATACAGTCGCAATAACGGACGGATATCCCTTATGTATCAGCCTCACCTAGGGGGGTTTTATGTAGTGTAGTCTTACTAGAATATTGCTAGTTTTATACCAGCGAACTACCCCTTATGTTCAGATCTACCTACGCTGCGAAGCTTAAGAGATAATTATCTAAGATGGTCCAACCCTGTAGTAACATCAAGCATATTCGGAAAAATGTTAGTCTAGTCGTCCGATGTGTCATTTACCCCAATCAGCTAAGCTGTTATATAGTAGATATTTGCGAGGGTTCATTGACAGTTCGGTAGCCAGACTCTTGTTATCTTTTACGGTGATATATTAATTTGAAGGCAATATGGCCCATATCATATACATCTGGACGAGCTAAAAGCGATGTAGGCGAGCAACAAATTCCTCAAATCTAAAGAGACCATTATTGAATAATAATGAGTTACACAATAATACTCATTATTATTCAACAATAAATTCCCATTTTACGAAGTTAATTTCGTTGTTAAGTTATTAACTCACCATCGGATATGCAGACCGTTGAGTGTATATTATCGTCTGTTTCTATTTCAGACATTTTATATTTTTGTATCCGGTACGGAAGCGTTATCTTGTGTCAGAATAGTTAGTAGGGACGTTGAGACGTAAGCGTCGTGATTTAGAGCGGCGTAATGGAGAGAGAGCGTCGTGACGCAGAACGCGAAACGTAGAAAGGGAGAAAAGGACGTAGGGCGTCAGATTAGATATTGGGCGTCGGATGGAGGGCGTCGGATAAAAGAGATGAAGTCGTGATGTCAAGCATCGAGACGTGGGAACGTTCGGGAGGTAGGTCGTCAGGCTGAAGAGCGTCGGATAGAGGTAGGATATGAACTGCGTGGGTTTAGGAAAGGTACTGAACTTGAATTATATTAGATTAGAAGAATAATACGACTGGAGCTCGAAATCAACTGAACTGAGTTTGATTTCTTAATGCCCTTTGAGTCCCTTTAAATCGGATCTTTATACTTGATTTCATTTTTGTGACGTCAGTTTCTCATGTAAACGAATTTGGGCGGATAGGGGGTGGCTGATTTATTACTTGCCTTGAAAAGTTTGTGTATCGAAAACAACGTTCCTATTCAAACTGACTTAAGATAAGTGCGTTAAGAGTTTAATGATTATTACTTCATGACAACTTATGTTGTATGGTGGGTCTAATTGATTTTTATGTTTCTTCAAAGAAAACAATCCTATTTTAAACTTAATTTTTCTGAAAATGAAAAGATTTTGTTTTTATTATCATCAGTAACTCTAGGTTACAGAGTTTGAAACATCTAGATATTTACAGGTAAAACTTATGACAATTAAAAACAAAAAAGACAGACGTCTAAAATTTTTGTCAATATATTGTTCAAAAAATAATTCACGGTTTTCTGTTCTCCCGACGTCACAAAAATGTGTTTGGTATAAGAAATTTACTAAAATTACTGTCCTAATAATTTAATAGAAGGTACAAATAATAATACTATATTGATTTATCCTAAATAAATATAAGTGTTTCTGTGTACATTTTGTCAACATCACTTTTATTGTTTGCAATTTTTAATCAATTATAATTATGTACTCGTATGTTCTCCTCATATTTAAGTACTTACTTTAAATGAAATAATTAGAATTATTATACCCATGCGCAACCCCCTAACAGGTCATCAATGGGCTTTTTCTGTTTATTCTTTTAAGAGAGGTATTTAAATCATTTGGTGAATATTTTATAATTACTTATATTTTAATATGTATGTATATGTATTAATAAAAACATTAATTTTTTAATAATTAATATTTTATTACCCCAAACAGAAGGCCTTTCAATATAGAATATTGTAGACATTTTATTTAATTCAGCTACATAATATAATACAGAAAAAATGTTTTCTTCAAAAAAATTATTCATATGAGTCACTTAATTTTATTTTTAATTAATTTAAAAAAATGTATATTTCAATTAATTCCCGCCTGAGGACATGTTTCCCAGGAATTACCGTTTTTCAACAATTGCGAGTACCCTCATAGGTTAAAATATTTCTATATTTACCGAAATCAGAATGGGCATTTTGTAGAGTCGATTTCGTACCAATTATCTACTGTTATTTGTCAAGGTACTAGAAGGACATTTTTTTTATTTTTAAATTGTAAACAGTCGGCTGTAGTGGTAGTCCCCACAGTTTACCGGTCTTCAAGCTTGCCCAGCGAAAAAGGATAAATTCGATAACAACTGAGAATTACATTCTTTTTGATTGCCGGCCGCCATAAACTCTTCTCTCTCCTCCACCGACTAGTGAAGTACTCTGTGAGTGACCGTGATATTGTTAGATTACTTAACAACCCCGTTTTTTCTAAGATAGGAAATCGCAAATTATTTTTTTTATTTACAATTAGTTTGGGGCACCCGTCCGACAAGTGAAAAAATTTTGATTCATATCCAGGATATTTTATTTCATCCCTTAGGGGGAAACCGTTGGCAATCTCTTTTAAGAAGCGCCCAGCATTTTTCATTTCATGTAAGTTTCTTTTCTTTTATTTATTCATTCAATTGTATTTGAATCATTCCGTTCCCCGTCCAAAACTAATTATTGAACGAAGCCCGACGTTTTATGTAAAATTAATTCACACACCGTTTTGATCGACTTTGGCAAATCTCAAAATAATCTTTTCTATCACCATCGCCTTCGCTGTCCAAACACCGCGTAAATTCATATCATTCTCACTCGACGAAAATTGCCACTGCCGATCGCTCGAGACCAAGATACAAGGGGTTCCGAAAACTTTGTTCCATTTTATAGTAGATTTTCCTTTTCTGAACTTACATTGTAGGTGGGTTAACTGGGGTGATAGTAAACTTCATTTTCTGTATACAGGGGTGTCGTAACTACCCGTTTTCTTTTATTTTTATGAACTTCTCATTTGGTCAACCGTTTAATTAAAAATTAATTACTCCGTTTTAATTAATTACCGTTTTTTCGTTTTATTATTTGGAACAGAATATTTAATTTTGTATGTATTTGGGAAAATACACCTTCCATATACCGTGTTGTACATAATTTCCGATTTAAATATTTTCCAGTACTAGTAAAAGGTAATCGAACTTTAATCTCATTTATTTTCCTACATTTTATTACCGTCATATGTTAATAATTTATTTTTAATAAATTTTCCGAATACAGGGAGCCGTTAATATTTAATTAGTTTTCATTGGTAATAATTTATTTTTAATAAATTTTCCGAATACAGAGAGCTGTTAATATTTACTTAGTTTTCATTTGTAGTAATTTATTTTTAATAAATTTTCGGAATACAGGGAGCCATTAATATTTAATTAGTTTTCAATTGTAATAATTTACTTTTAATTATTTTTTTCTGTATATAGGGATCCGTAATTACTTTCTTGTAATCTCGTTTAATTATAATCAATCATTTTATTTAATTTTTCGTTTACAGCCGTGCCAAAACCGTGCACTACCACGGTTGTACATTTTTTTTGTAAATATATATTTTATTACCTATTCCTGTGTTTCTCTTATTGCTGGTTCTTAACCGTTCTCTTTCAGGGTACCTTAGGGTACAAGGTGTAAAGGAGGTAAGTGTTTTATTTTTATTTATTCTAGTATAGTGGCTACCTAGCAGTGACCGCCTGGAATTATTTTTACCTCTACTGAGTTTACCTTGAGTACACTCTGGTGTACTACAGGGTCACAGAGCAAACTGCGATACCAAAACTGGCGCCTGAGCAACCCCTATTCGGGAATCACCATCATACCGCCACACAGACTCGCTGATTCACTGTAGAGTGTAGGTGAACCAGAAAGCCTGTCACAATAAAATATTCTAAATTAACATGCAAAAGTAAAAAATTATAATGAATACTGAATAGTGAATACCAGCAATGCGAGACTGGCCTCATAGTATATACATGTCCACTCGTTAAGTATGTAACAAGTGATAATCGGTGTCTCCATCTATGAACGCGGGACGGAGCCCTGTTGGAGTTGGGTCTGCGGCAGTTAAAAGTCTTTTAACTTTTACCATACTTTTACCCCATATAGTTACTTACCCTTCATAAGGCCATCATCAAGCAACATAATGCTGGGCCACTACCGAAAGGCCAAAAGTATGCTTTTATCTTTTAATCGTCGCATTCATTTTTCCTTCAATTACAGCAAAAGGCCAGCACTATCCCGGCAATTTATTGTTTGTTTAATTTTATAATTTTAAATAATAATATTGATCAATCTAACTAAGAGGACTGAACGACCATTTTACGTTACGTTATAACGATAAAGACATTGTTTTTTTTTGAGATTTCTATTTGAGGTTTTAATTGTTTTGACTTTTAATTTGTAATTTTATTTATTTTAATAGTGACAATTTGTTTCCTCTTTTAAAAATTAGTCATAATAAAGTTGGTTTCGTGTATACATACGTATCGTTTTTTTTTACACTTCATAGACGGTCCATGTTGGAACAAAAAAAGAAAGTTATATTATCCTGATTAGATGAATCCGACCGGATCCGGTCGGATTGATGGAAATCCGGTCGGATTGAAAATGAGACCGGATTGCAATTCCTAGCGACACCACTCCCTCGTTTGATTACCCTATCGCTCCACGCTCCTTACCAGTTTATATCCGTTAATAAATAGTGACTCATCACCCAGACAGCACACCAAATCCTTTGGATATCTACTGCACATCCCAATATCCACTGAATGTCCAGTCCATGGTGGATATCTATTTTATATCCATGATATGTAATTTATAGACATGCAAATGTCCATAAATAATAGTAAATATATAGCAAATTATTAAAAAATTACGCCATTGTGCTCGCCATTGTGGCTAATAGTACCGTTCAGATATTTAAAATTCATTTTTTTAAGGTGTATTCAATATCCCATGGACATCCACTAAATATATCAAAGTCTAGGCGCGAACGCAAACCATCGTGGATATCCACTAGATGTTATTTGATTTTGCTTACTAAGTATAGATGGCGATACCACTTTCGCATCTACTCATGCTCGACCCGCCGTAATTGAGTTCGATCGAAATTTGTGTCCTAATCAGACTCCATTAGAGACTGGAGTCGAGAATTTCCATTTATTGCTGATGAGTCCTAATAAGGACGACTTTCACCTTAGTGGGCAAAATCAAAGGCAGAGTGTTGAAAATATTTTGAGTGTTGAAAATATTTTTTATCTCTGCTATTTTCTTTGGACGTTATTCAATAATCATTGGTTACTTATGAACCTCTACTAAAGATCAAATATGTTGCTGAGTATCCGAATATCTTCTATATCCTGGGATATAGACGGACATTTGGTTGGATATATTGAATATCCACAAAATATATTATGTGGATATCTCTGGGATTTCTTGTATTTTCTGGAAGATACCCATTAGATATTTTGCTGGATATCCATTAGGATATCTTCTATATTCTGGATATAGACGGACATTTGGATATCCATATTAGATCCACGGAATATTTCTGATATCCTGTGGATATATTGGATATCCACAAAATATATTCTGTGGATATTTTTGGGATTTGGTGTGTTGTCTGGGCGGATATCCCTGGATATAACCAAGTTTCATATAATCCAAATGTCATACTTTTTATTAAGCACTAATTTTTGTCAATAATGAACATATATTTAGATTAGCAAATATCATTTAGAAACTTACAAAATCAAGCAAATTTAAAAAAAAAATAGAAAAATAATTTGATTTATTCTACTAGTTATAAATTATAAATTTGTATCAACTAACAACAGATTTTTAATTGCAATTAATGAAAATAAATGTGACTCATTAAAACTACTTATATTTATTGCATTAGCCGAAACTGAGGTAGACTTATGTTTAAAAAAAATATAAACATTTTACAACAATAATTCCGTACATCCAACTCGTAGGGAGACATCTAGAACAGAAAGAAATAGGTATGGAAATATCAAAAATTACTTAGAAATGAGGGAGTTTTGCAGACGCTCTGATTATTCCTGAATATTTCTGATTATTTCAGTAGTTTTGTTCTTTAATGAACTTTGTTAAAATTTTGTAGTAGCGAGGTTTGTTTATTATAATTTCACTTATATATTTAATTAGATATTATGTATTTTTGTTGATTTCTATTTTCGCTGTATTTATAGGAACATGTAATTAGGCTCATGCCCGTTTGTTTCTGGAATAAATAAATAAATAAATAAATAAATAAAACATTGATAGAGAAAGAAGCAATTAATGCTGGAAGAACATGTATTTAAAGTGCAAAACGCGTGAGTTCACAAATAATGTAAAATGAACGGGATTATCATATTCATATTAGTGGAATAGATAAGTCACAAATAGGGCAAAAAGCTTAGGCTTAGATCATCGATATACAATACAGAAAATTTATGCTTAATTGAAAGTAAAACTGGTAAAAAATAAAAGGAATATAAACCAAACAACCCAAATCATTGACTAATAGACGAATAAGCAAATTACATAAATTAGGCTTTATTATTTAAAACAACTACAAAAATGCTCACAGCATATAGTATATGTATAGTGTTTAACGAACAAGGAATGGTACTCAGTTCCTACGAGAATGCTGTAACTCATACGACATACGAGTAGGTTAGGAAATGAGCATTATTTGCGAATTGAACACTATACTTTTTCTATGGCTATAACATCCATTTTTAATTAGTTTTTATCATTTAAAAAACCTCGCAAAAAAACTAAAATAACAATGCAGCTCTTTTCTAAATAATTATTTAATTGTTGACATTTATTCATGATTTTAACAAAATAATTAGGGAATGGCTACTTTTTGTTATCAGGTAAGGATCTGATACGGAAATGATTACTTTGTTTTATCCGAATTATCAAATAAGTTGAGAAAGTATACGTTTTTATTATAGCCCTAGAAAAAATTATTACTATTTTATAAACAGTATTAAATTATAATTACCTTTAGTCCTAAAACTAAAAAATATATTATCTAGTTTTAGGATTGACTTTTAATCCTTCTACATGCATAACATCTGAATTTTGGAGGCGCAGGTCCATCGATGTGAATGCAATCATCTGGTCTGTTGTAGTGTTCTAAACATGGTAACCTCTCTAAGAGCTCTTCATCCTCTTTCAGTTTACTTGGTACGTCTTTCCAAAACTTGTGTAATTGACTGGCTGATAACTGAAGTAAAAATGATTTTGGTAAAACTTTGATGACATCGGAATTTAACTCGACGTTTCTAATTGAAAAGTTGGCAACATCTGAAGACATATTTTTGTATTTTTGTTTTTATGTTACACAAAAGAAAATACTTTTAATATGAATTTCTATTTAAGTGAACATTTATTTTTCCTTATCAAAGAGATTCTATTTATCAGGTATTTACTGCATAGATAAGATAAATTAGGAAATTACCTAAATCGCGCAAATTACAATGAAAATTTACGTGGCAAATCGGAAAGTTTGTACTCATTGTAAATATACTTGTGTGGCGCCACAAAACACTCACTGTGTGACGCGTACAATAATATTTTTGTGCAGCCGCCAATAATTTCGCAACAATAGAAATACAGAATAGTAATTGGTCATATATCTATTATCGCTTACAAATTTGTTATCATACACTGTTACTCAGCCCCGGATCTAGGGGGGAGGCAAGCCGGACCCCGTGCCCCGGGCGGCAAATTCAGAGGGCGGTAAAGAGTACATTTTTTTTTTTTTCATAAATAAGGTTTTGAAATCAATTCATAGATAATCAAAATTTATTTGAATTCTATCTGTGCAAAACAGGTCAAGTGTTTATTGGGTCATATTACCTGCTTAATCCATAATCGGATAAGTTTTCAATTGCCCAAAACGTTTAGTGATTTTAAAACGGTATTTAGCTTTAAAATTCCCAAAATTAAATACCTGTTAATCATATTAGGCACCTTTTGTACTACCTGTCATAATCCATAATTATTTTAGTAAGAAATCCTTCTAATGACTTTAGAATGATTCTTGCTTTGGGGAAAACAAATATCTGATTTGTGAAAAGCAGTTAACTACCTACAATTAGGATAATATATAGAGGAATAAAGCTACAATCTAAATTTATTGTGCTTTTCATTTTTGAAAAAGTTTGTTCTTGAAGTTATTGGTACTTTGTGTTTACTGAAAGTGTTTTTATTACCTACATATTTTTGTAGATGTTATCTGTGTTCACTTAATTTACTGTTTTTTATTATTATATCTCATATATAAATAGTGAGAAATAAAAAAAGGCAAGAAAAAAGAAAAAATTAATTAGACTTATCTGGGTGTATGTGTAGTAATAAAAAAAATTATAAAAGTATGATCTTCTAATCAGATTATTTCGATTTTTTCACCTCTCTTAAGCTAGCAGGACCAACTGGGCAGAATCGATTAAAATCTATTACATTATTTTGTACTAATTTGTACCACCAATAAAAATTTTGTACCATGTGCCGTTTTCAAAAAAAAAAACGTGGCGCTGCTAGGTTAATATTAAGCTAGAAGGACCACATTAAAAAAATAAAATAAAAAATAAAACAACGGTAGAATTAAAACGAACTGAATTTGTACCACCAATTTATTTTTTGTACTATGTACGGTTTATAAAAAAACACATGGTGCTTCTAGTTTAATATTAAGCTAGCAGGACCACATTAAAAAAATAAAATAAAAAATAAAACAAAAGTAGAATTAAAAAGAACTAAATTTGTACCAATGTGTACCACTAATAAATTTTTCGTACTATGTACCGTTTACAAAAAACACAAGGTGCTTCTAGTTCAATATTAGGCTAGCAGGACCACATTGAAAAATACAAAGGTACAATTAAAAAGGACTGATTTTGTACCAATATGTACCATTAAAAAAACCTAATTTATTTATTCAAACTGCCTGAAACAACTTTCAAAATAATCCAAATCTGGTATAATTAAAAATAAAGAGACTTTTTCCAGAAAAAGAATCTATTAAAATTTTTGCATAAAACACAACATAATGTGTACCGTTAAAATATAAATTTTCAGAATAATATGCACCCCTGCCGTTCCTTAGAAACTATCCTAAATTCATATTCCTTTTAAACAGCAAAATCAATCGTTACTTCTGCAATAAAAGTACGTTAAAATGTAAATTGTTACCCAGACAACACACCAAATCCCAGAGATATCCACAGAATATCTTTTGTGGATATCCAATATATCCACAGGATATCAGAAATATTCCGAGGGTCTAATATGGATATCCAAATGTCCGTCTATATCCAGAATATAGAAGATATCCTAATGGATATCCAGCAAAATATCTAATGGGTATCTTCCAGAAAATACAAGAAATCCCAGAGATATTCAATATGGATATCCAACCAAATGTCCGTCTATATCCCAGGATATAGAAGATATTCGGGATATTCAGCAAAATGTTTTATGGGTATCTTTAGTAGAGGTTCATAAGTAACCAATGATTATTGAATAACCTCGAAAGAAAATAGCAGAGATAAAAAATATTTTCAACACTCAAAATATTTTCAACACTCTGCCTTTTATTTTGTCCACTAACGAGAAAGTCATCCTTATTAGGACTCTTCAGCAATAAATGGAAATTCTCGACTCCAGTCTCTAATGGAGTCTGGAGGACAAAAATTTCGATCGAACTCAATTACGGCGGGTCGAGCATGAGTAGATGCGTAAGTGGTATCGCCATCTATACTTAGTAAGCAAAATCAAATAACATCTAGTGGATATCCACGATGGTTTGCGTTCGCGCCTAGACTTTGATATATTTAGTGGATGTCCATGAGATATTGAATACACACAATATCTGAACGGTACTATTAGCCACAATGGCGAGCACAATGGCGTAATTTTTTAATAATTTGCTATATAATTACTATTATTTATGGACATTTGCATGTCTATAAATTACATCTCATGGATATAAAATGGATATCAACCAAGGATTTGGTGTGCTGTCTGGGTAGATTCTGTACCCTTGCCGTTCCTATAGAAACTAACCTAAATTCATATTAGGCTCAAGAGTAAAGTACCCTTTTGCACGAGCAGAATCAGTAGTGAGTTTTGCAATGAAAGTAACTTAATTTGTACCACTAAAATATAAAATTTTAGATTTTGTACTTCTGCCGTTCCTATAGAAATTAAATTAAATTCATATTAGGCTCAGGAGTAAAGTACCCTTTTGCACGAGCAGAATCAATAGTTACTTTTGCAATGAAAGTAACATAATTTGTACCACTAAAAGATGAAATTTCAGATTTTGTATCCCTGCCGTTCCTATAGAAACTGACCTAAATTTATGTTAGGCTCAAGAGTAAAGTACCCTTTTGCACAAGCAGAATCAATAGTTACTCCTGCAATAAAAGTAACATAATTTGTACCACTAAAATATGAAATTTCAGATTTTGTACCCCTGCCGTTCCTATAGAAACTAACCTAAATTCATATTAGGCTCAAGAGTAAAGTACCCTTTTGCAAAAGCAGAATCAATAGTTACTACTGCAATGAAAGTAACATAATTTGTACCACTAAAATATGAAATTTCAGATTTTGTACCCCTGCCGTTCCTATAGAAACTAACCTAAATTTATATTAGGCTCAAGAGTAAAGTACCCTTTTGCACAAGCAAAATCAATAGTTGCTTTTGCAATGAAAGTAACATAATTTGTACCACTACAATATGAAATTTCAGATTTTGTACGCCTGCCGTTCCTAAAAAAATTAACCTAAATTCATATTAGGCTCAAAAGTAAAGTACCCTTTTGCACGAGCAGAATCAATGGTTACAGGTAGTTGTGGGGTTCTTTAGGGGAGGCCTATGTCCATCACTGGCGGGTGGAGGCGGCATTCTTCAGTTTTTGCCCCGCCTCAAAAAAATTCAAGATCCGGGGCTGCTGTTACTTACTGATTTCTAAATTGTAACTGAGACGAAAGTTAAAAATCTGTACAAGGAAGGTGGAGCAGTTAGGGTGTGTACATGCCGAAGATGCCTCGATGACCGATAGGCGATGGTTAAGTGGATGACAAGATTGTCAAGTCAATCGATGTACACTCTCATTTAAATTAGTACATTTGCTGTTACAATGGCTCTTTGATGATCGATGACCGATAGGCGATGGTTAAGTGGATGTGAGAGGATGCGCTTATCTTTAGTATGTACACTCTCATGTAAATTAATACATTTGTTATTACATCGCTCATCGGTCATCGATCGTCGCTCATCGGGGCATCTTCGGCATATACCCAGACAACACACCAAATCCCAGAGATATCCACAGAATATATTTTGTGGATATCCAATATATCCACAGGATATCAGAAATATTCCGTGGAACTAATATGGATATCCAAATGTCCGTCTATATCCAGAATATAGAATATATCCTATGGATATTCAGCAAAATATCTAATGAGTATCTCCAGACAATACAAGAAATCCCAGATATATCCATAGAATATATTTTGTGGATATCCAACCAAATGTCCGTCTATATCCCAGAATATAGAAATTCAGATAAATATTTTATAATTATTTTTAGTAGAGGTTCACAAGTAACCAATGGTTATTGAATAACGTCGAAAGAAAATAGAGGTAAAAAATATTCCCAACAATCTGCCTTTGATTTTGCCTACTAAGGAGAAAATCATCCTTATTAGGAATCTTCAGCAATAAATGGAACTTCTCGACTTCAGTTTCTAATGAAGTCTGTTTGTGAAACAATGTCGATCAAATTCAATTACGGCGGGTTAAGCATGAGTAGATACGAAAGTGGTATCGCCATCTATACTTAGGAAGCAAAATCAAAAATTACATCTAGTAGATATCCACGATGGTTTGCGTCCGCGCTTAGACTTTGATATATTTATATTTATAGTGGATGTCCATGGGATATTGAATACACCTTAAAAAAAATTAATTTTAAATATCTCAACGGTACTATTAGCCACAATGGCGAGTACAATGGCGTAATTTTTTAATAATTTGCTATATAATTACAATTATTTATGGACATTTGCATGTCTATAAATTACATTTCATGGATATAAAATAGATATCCACCATGGACTGGACATTCAGTGGATATTGGGATGTTCAGTAGATATCCAAAGGATTTGGTGTGCTGTCTGGGTACACACCCTTAAAGTCTGAAACTTGAGTTCCAGTTACGAATTTAAGGTACCATTTGGGAACGCGAGACCAAGACAGGCGACAACCGACCGCGTAAGGAGACCGAAATGTGTCTCTTACGTCTGAATCACATGTAATTAAATGAAGCACATTTGAAACAGCGCGACCGATGTAAGAGAGGCGACACGGCCGTGTTTACTGTCTTGCTTGCTGCCTGCCGCCTGTCGTCTGTTTCGATCTCGAGTTCTCAAATAGCTTTATAATTCTACTTCTAATGCGTAGGTATCATTCCTCATTCGACCATTCACTGAAGACCAATATAGGTATTAACATTATAGAGTTACTTCTTACAAAATAACATTACATCATAAATATCTCACTAATAGCAACTAGGTAAACCTTAGGCTTCGATCACATTAGAGGCACGCTTGTGCAAGTAATTTGGTGGCGCAAGCGTGCACATAGAAACAAAATCCTCAGGAGAGCGACAGAAACAAGTGGTCCATCGCCGCTCACACTGCATGCAACAAGCAAGTGCACGCTTGTGCAAACTTGATACGAAACAAAAATATTTGTTTTTTAATTGCAAGCGTACGTTTTCCAAACCTGATATCCAGGTTATTTTCATATAAACTATTCACAGAAAAAAATATATTCAATCGCCATTTTTTAATGTTTAAAATTAATACGTAAGATTAACTTTTTTGGGAGAGAAAGGCCTAAAACATTTTTAATATTATTTTTAAATTCATCAAAAGCATATTTTAAAGTAAATAGTTAATAAATCTTCAAGTCTTACCTCAAAGTAACCATCACCTTCTCTTCAGGTGATATACAATTTCGGAAGTTAGATTGCCTCCTTATTTTAGGAGTGATTTTGCCTAGTATAAAATAAAAAGTGTCTGGCATCATTCTAAAGTATTAAAAAAACTTATTAGGCTGTCTAAGGAAATTGTTAAATATTCGTGCATACTCTGCATCTTCCTCTGTCTAAAAAATACTCGTTAACCCACTCTTCCCTGATTTCCTGCTCATTCAAAAATTAAAACTTTAAAACACCATCTCCATTTTGACTGACCTGTTTATAATAATTAACATGCTACTTGCACCTGCTTTCATTTAGTGTGAGCACATTGCTGATTGCTGTTTACGCCAGCTTACGCACGCGCGCTACCAAATTACTTGCACAAGCGTGCCTCTAATGTGATCGAAGCTTTAATATTAAACTTGACATTTTGTCTAAAAAGTTGGTATGATCTACCTAAATTCTCTGACGTAACAAATTGTATGGAGTAACATTTAATTTTAGTTTGCAAAAATTAATGCGCCTTATCATTTTCCTAAAATAATGGTTTTAAAATTTATTTGAAAAATTACAAAAAAAAACCTTTAAAAATATTTCAAAATTGTTATTTTAAATAAAAACATACTAATGTAACCTTATTTTCTTACATATTGCAATTATAATGCAGAATGAGATCCAAATTTCATTTTTTGTTTATTTTTTACCAACATAGCGAAAAGTTTGTGTTCCTATTTACCGAATAAAGTGGCTGAATCTTCTTATGACCAGTTGTAATTAATACATATGAACACCACGTTAATATTATTTAACTTATTATTTTAACTATACTTTCGTTGTTTTTGTGTGCACAACGTATGGTTATTATAACTTAATTATGTAAGTTTAATTTGCATGTATCATATTTTATTACCACTACGTTATAACTTAATTATATGTGTATTATATAAGTTATATCAAAACTCGTTTACCACCACAATGAAAGACACAGATTACAAAACGAAAAAGATTGCTATATTGCCTTCAACTGAACGAATATATTTCATATTTATTCTAGGTAGTGAGAACAAGGCAAAAAAATGAAATCCACCATGCAATCACAGTTCATATTTTGATCAACCGACTGCTATTGTTTTTAAAAAAATTTTAGTTATTGAGATTAAACATACACTAAAATAAATAAATAATAGAATTTCTATTTTTATTTCGTCTATAGTTATAAATAATTCGTTAATTTAAATAAAACAATACCTATCTGAAGTCAATTTAATTACGAGTAATAAAGCAAAAAAAATACACGCGTAGATAGTCCTGTGGTCAGCATTCTTGTCTTCCGTACGGAAGACTCGAGTTCAAATCTCAGATGGAGAAAAATGAAGTGAATTTTTTTTGTTTATTTTATTTTATAAATTAGTAAAAGTCATAAATTATTTTTAAATTATTTTATTCTTAATAATCTAAAATAATTTTTAATATTTGGAGATTTTCGTAAGTGGGTGGTAGAAAAAATATACTGGACAACTCGAGTAGATTGTCCATATATCCATTCTTGTTGCACAAACTACTATTATAAATAAGTCTTTCTCATCATTATCTAAACGTTGCTTAAGCTCATCCAAAGCTTTATTATTTAACCGAGTTTGTTATCAGGCTGAGGTTTGTATCCTTTAGCCTTTATTTTTTTTACGGAAAGTGACTGCCCTTTTAACTTGAAAGGAACTTGTTAATATATCGCTTTAATAGGTCGAGGTTTTGCATTATTTACTCTGCCGACACGTATAACTTTTAACATTTCAGTATTCCCGACACTAGCCACGCTTAAAATATTATTATATTGCACAACTTTTGTATCATCAGAGTGATACACCTATTACCTACGCACATTTAATTCATTTGAGCCATGCTATATTCTGGAACGTTGTAAACCATCAGCGAGATCCTCCTTTGCTGAATTTCATCACATCTAGTTTCTAACGATGAAGAAGATTTATTAGTCCGTAAATAATTAATATCACTTCTTAAGGAGAGCAATATTCATATTTCAAGCATTTTGAATCTTTGGTCATAAAATACATTTTAGTATCTATAACTCCTATTCACATACTATGCCACTGCCGGAACCGGGAACGGGAATGGTACTTCGGGGTACAATATCCGGAACCTGAAGAAATCGCGAAAGCGCCCATCAGACATATTCTTGAATTCATCAAGAAAATCAATCTGATGGGATAGAAACTGTGAGGGGTACAATAAGCCTAGAGCTTCAGTACAAGTGGGCTTTGAACCACGCTCTAATTCAGATGATGATGATCTATAATGTTAGGTTTAAAAATTATTGGGGGCAATTACCCCCTATTACCCCCCCACTCCGTATATGCGCCTCTGACATGTATGTTTTTAAGGTCATATAGGTTCACAAACAAAATTGTACCTTTGCTCCCCCAGGAAAAATTTGTGGTTGCGCCCATGAACCTATTTATTACAGATTTTCTTTCATTTATTATGTTATTTAATATTACAAATTAGGGCGGATTGATAGATATTTTGTTATCACCAATAATTATTTTTTATTTATTTTGTGTGATAACATTTTATAATAAACAATCAAAAGAGTTATTAAATGAAATTACAAAATTTACAGATTGAATAATTATTAATGCTAATTTTATAACAGCTAATAGGTACCTAGCACCATTTCTTAACCTTGACTTTTGTGCAGAAATAATAAAATACAAGAGGTCAATACTCTAATTTGACCGAAATCAAACAAAAGTTTTAGATTTGAATTTATCCGCCCAAGCGATCTTCTCGCTCATTTTTAACAAGCGAACAACAAAGCAAAAAGATAACTACTGCACCAGCTGACCGTGGCGGCATATTATTGGTTACGTTCGGTCGAAAGATTAAATTGGTGCTATCTCATATCTGAATAAGTATTCTGCTTGTTAAAGAAAGAGAAACAGTGGTTAAGTCGTGTCGTAGATTGTATATTATATTTCTTTATTGCCAACTAGCCTCTCTCCTCTACTCCTCTCATTCCTTTCATCTCATTCATTGATGAGTTTATGAGTTTTTCTTCATTTGTCCACCGGTTCACTAGAGATAAACTTTGGTCTAAGAAAATGAAGTTTCTTTTAGTTACATTAGCTTTTGTTGGCATTTGGGCTTACGTTAGCTGCAACGATAAAAAAGGACCCAAAGTAACAGATAAGGTACGTCAGAAATTCTATTTTTACAAAAATTCCTGTAAACTGGATTTTTATATTTTTTAGGTATGGTTTGACATCACAATCGGTGACGAAGCCATAGGACGTATTGAAATAGGATTATTCGGTAAAACTGTGCCAAAAACTGTAGAGAATTTCAAACAATTAGCCCTAAAGCCGGCAGGAGACGGATACAAAGGCAGCAAATTCCATAGGGTTATCAAAGATTTTATGATTCAAGGCGGCGATTTTACTAAAGGCGACGGAACAGGAGGTTAGTATTTTAATTTACTACATTTCATTCAAAATTTTGAAAGATAAAAAATGACTCCATCTCCATAACAAATCGTTTTACAGGACCGACTCTTAAGATGTTTGTTTCCTACCTAGGTACTTATAGTAACAAATTGCATGATGAATAATTTATAAATCTCAACTTTTTTGAAATATAGGGTGTTTAAAAAGTTTGGATTTAAATTGTTTTGTGTCCTAGCTAATAATGACAATTAACTTATACATATTTTTAAGTTAAAATCTCTCCTAGGGAAAGATATATTTAGAAAATTATGTATTTATAAAATCACTTTATCACCCTGTAGAATGAAAACTGGGACGTTTACAGGAAAATTATATGTAGCTTTTCTTAATAATTAGGTAGTTAAGATCTATAATTCTCCAAGTTTATGGTACTTTATTCTGAAAGACAATGTATAGTAAGTCTGGTATATTTTTAATTTGTTTGTCATTCAATTTTCATTTATTGTATAAATAATTATAATTAGACCAAAAAATATGCTCATATTCACTGTTAATTCAGAAACATTTACATGAGTACTAAAAAAAAATAATTTATATTTAAATCATTGTTGACAAACAGTTCAATACAACAATGTGTCATAAAATTTAATAGTCTTGATTTTTGATGTAACAACAGTAACATTTTAAAACGTTCATCTTCTATAACTGAAAAAAATTAATAAAAGTATGCAAGTAGTGTATCGTTTATAAAATGAAAATGTATCCTCTTTTCTAATAGTAATATATTTCTAGTTTGCTCAGTTATATTTAGGCTTTTACCCATTTTCTCCATATACTTCTGTTTTTGCTAAGATTTGCAGTTATTTTATTATTTTGCTTTTTTTTTCTTGTTGGTTTCTTGGATTATATCTACTCAAAGAAATATTTAAGAAGTACATTTTTATCTGAAAACTAATCTAATACTTCCTTTTATTTCCTTTTCCTTGATTTTGAGTTAATTTTACTTATTTATTCAGATACTATGCTGTCAAAAAAAGAGATTTATTTATTCCCTTGACTACAATATAATTTACACAGAAAAAGGTGTACTATATTCAATATGAATGGTCTTATTTCAACACTTTGTTCTGTTTGTATATTCGCAAGTAAAACTCATCTCGATTTGAAATTCTAGTAATACTTCTTCAGCAATAGCTAATAAGCCTTGCTTCAAGATTAAAATCAACTTGCCCTAACTAAAATACCTCTAATTAAATGAAGAGTATCTATTACTCAATTGCAGTATTATGTACATCTTAAATGAAATAGTCTTGCACTTTTTTTAAATATACTTTATTTATATTCAATAATACATTGTTCTTAAATCCAATACAACTAAATTTGTTACAATAATAATATGAACTGTTCCAATAAATGTTTATTGGCTTTGACATAAATATATTGATTTTGGCTGAATTATAGGATAGTTTCATTGAAGAAATTAATAATCTTGAAATAATTTAATAGGGTTCTCACTGGTACATATCCATCGAAAAACATTTTTCAAAATTGTTTTTAGTTAATGTACCAAATTCCTTTGTCCTCTGAGGTGTCTCACCTATAATTAAAAAAAAAAAAAAAATTATTGGCCGTAGTAGTCGACGCTGAGGACACCAAATAAAAAAAAAAACTACAAAATCTAAATGTAACATAAAAGTTTGTCTTGCTAGGTTAAGAGGTCGTATCTACAAAATGAATATTTTTAGTAAATGTGGGTATGTAGATAATTACGTATGTCCTTTCAGACTTCGCAAATAAGTTTTGCATATTTTACTAACCTTTTATTATAATTATAGTAAATATTTTCTAATGCAAATAGGCCTTTATTATTTTATGTCATAATAAAATAAAATGTAAGCTTATTAAATTTGTAAGAATCTTAAAATCGGAATTTTCGTAGATACGGCCTTGTCTTCGCAAGGCAGAAGTCATCTTTCCAAAAAGTCGTCATAGCATCATACATTTTTTTTAACTTCTATCCAGTTTGTTTTGTGCTCTTATGATTATAAATTTACTTATATATAATATAATACCGAACAAGAAGTGAACTAAATATACTTACATTTAAATATTGATATCAGGTCGCTGATGCCCCATCCATCTAACAAATCTTCCATTTTAATTTTATTTATTTATTCCTTTATTAATTGAATCACAAAGAATTTCCAACAAAAAGTAGAACGCAACTCTAACTATACGACGCAAACTTGTTAGAAAATGGACAATAGGATGAACATGTGCTTATGCCAATTTGCCAGATTCTCTATAAATGCGTTGTATCTCTGACTTCCGAATAATAAGTATCACATATCAACATGTACCAGTCATATATTTTCCGTACCAGTGCAGTGGTTGCATTTTATAATAAGTTTCAGCTGGCAACACCGTGCAGTGAGTTTGTACTAGCTAATCTTTTGTGAAGTACATAGGTTTTTGATTCGAATTGTTTAATTCTTGTTCTGAAATTTAAATGCTTTGAATCGAATCCTTTTATAACATTGAATCAAGTACGCGATAGTCGGTTTTAAGAGCATATCATACTTACAATAAATGTAAGAGCTTTCTTGGATTAATTAACAATTCTAGACTCGAATGAAATAATTTATTCTCAAATTAATTATTATAAATCTTAAAATACAAGATTATGCCTACACTTCACTCAACATTTATTTTTTTATTGTGTCGAGAAATATTTGAAGCAAATTCTGCTTTATTTCAAACAAATGTAATCTTCCAAGTGTAAAGCTTTTCTTGAATGTAGATGATAATTTTTTCTGTGTAGAAAATCCTATGAAATACAAAATATTGAAAATTATTGTAAAATTGTTTAATTTTTCTTGGAGGTGAAATTTTTATTAAATTTATGTTCTTAAACCTTTCTTTGTATTTTTTTATTTTTCATGGTTTATTGTGACTAAGGTTTGTCGAAATTAAACATGCAACAATTTTTGATGTTTAATTCCTACAGTACTAGCTTGACGAATATGGTAGTACGATTTTGTGTATTATAATTATGATATTCGAAGTTATGGGCTAATTTGTCATGTAAATATGCAGGAACTTCACCAATTTTTGTTTTATATATTAAGGTTAGTTATAGAAAGTAATTTTAAACAGATAACCATGTAATGTATTTAGCATTAATGTTCTATGTACTACTATTATTCCTCTATTTTGGAGTCTCTGTAATTTGTTAATTTCATTTTGATTTAATAAATAGCTGTTACTAAATAATAGTAATAATCTCCAGTGATTTAGACACTTGGATTGTCTACTTAGATCATTCTTTTTGAAAACAATCATTTTAATGATATATATTTAGTATGATCTTTAAAAAACTATCTACTATTGCACTTAAATATTTAATTTTAATGTACTAATTAAATTTTATCGTTTCGTATTTGTATATTAAAATTATATATATATTGAAATAATTTTGTTATCAATTTTTAATGAGTTGTAGCAGCACCATTTATAAAAAATTAAGGGTTTTGTAAATTTAATTAGTTAATCACATAGATCACTTGAAGCATAATAAATTAAGGTATCATCTGCGAATAGATGAAAGGGGCATCTATCCATAGTACATGAAATTTCCATATACAATAAAAAAAGTAAAGAACCTAACACACGACCCTGTGTGTATCAGATTTTGAATCCAATTGTCATCCTACTCTTAATACCAGGTTTAAAATATGGTACGTAAATTTGAGTTTGTTTTTTGGATAAACAGAAAATGTAATGATTCTATGAAATTGAAAATATGTTAAAAAATTTTTAATTCGTTAAATTAATTATGTTATCAATGGTATCAGAGCAGCGTTTCGTCTTAACAGGTTAATTTATCTGTATCAATATCTGCAGTTAAGCAGTACCGATAATACTTAGATGGTTAACCATTTTAAGGAAACGCTGCGTACAATAAACCCCAAACAACTTTCGTTAAACAACGGTAAAGAAAATAATTTTAAATAACTAATAAAAGGGAAGCACTTTTTGACAATTTTTTGAAATATCACCATTGTCAAGATATCATCACATGACACATATTTCTTAGTTTCACATTTATTAACCTACTGACTGTTTAAAAAAGTTGAGTTTCTATGTTTCATTATTAATTTTAGGTCGCAGCATCTATGGTGAAAGGTTTGCTGATGAAAATTTCAAGCTTAAGCATTTTGGTGCTGGATGGCTCTCGATGGCCAATGCTGGCAAAGACACTAATGGTTCCCAATTCTTTATCACCACAAAACAAACTCCTTGGCTGGATGGACGCCATGTCGTTTTCGGTAAGATCATTAAAGGCATGGACGTTGTGAGAAAAATTGAAGCTACTGAAACTGATAGCCGTGATAAACCTAGTAAAGATATTATTATAGCAGACTGCGGTGCTGAAAGTATAAATGAACCTTTTAGTGTAGAAAAAGCTGATGCGGAGGAATAAACTAAGTTGTATATATTTTTTCAGTGATTTATTTTTAAAATTTTTACCTATGTCTTTTAATAAATTAGGTATTTTTTTATTAGATTGTTTTATTTTTACCGTAGAAAAATAATCCTACAATTTGATGTCGTAAAAACTTAATTAAATTTAATTTTATATAACCCTTTATTTATGACATGACCCAATCATGAATGCATTATAAATAGTAAAATTTCATCTGAACGTTATATAAATGTATAATATACAATACTTTTAATAAAATCTTGTTTAGTGGAAAAAACAACGTATGATGTATTAATAATTGTCGTTTTAATAGTTTAGTTCGACCTAGATTTTTAACAGACTTCAAATAAAGGAGTAATTTCTCAATTTGTTGGTATATAATTTTTCTGATTTTTTTTTTGTTAGGAAAGGAGTAGCATATAAATTTGGTCAAAATCTGAAAATGGGATCCATGAGAAAAACATCAGACTCTTCATTTTTGTAGTCAGTTTTTTTTAATTACTTTTATAACTTTTGTAATTATTAAATAGTTTTTTATTTAATACCAAAAATCAACAGAGAAAATTTGGTGTAGTATGTCTAGTAACAAAATGTTGAACTCATAAATTGAAAAATTACTGTACAATCAAAAATATCTAGGCATTTAGATTATATTTAAATTATCAATTGATACACAATGGTGCATCCTCTATAAATTATTTTTGTACAGTACAGTTTGAATTATAATTTGTAATACTAAATTATTCTGTTTGAAGGACTTTAATATTGAATATCAGATTGTATAAGTTATCTATTTTTTGAATTTCGATCATTAAAAAATGAAATTTCAATTACTTCATTTCAGGAATTAAGGTACCTACGATATTTAATTCCAAAATCATACATTAAAAAAAAGAAGATCAACTTGAGGTTCAATGTCAAAGTGACATTTCGTTTTAACTTTTAGCTTACGAAATGCAAATAATAACTTACAATTAACTGCTTGTGTATTTCGAAAGCGGAAGGAGTTGAACAGTCAGTTAAACTGAACAAAAAAGTAAACGATTATCAGCACAATTTATATCCACTTTTCCATTAGAATGATATAACAATCTGAAACTTTCGGTACATTATCATAATACCACAAGCTGCATCTGATGGTTAACAATTTTTTTCCAAATTAATCTACTACGTATCTATTACAATTTCCGAAATCTGTATGTGGTTCATTTTAAAAGGGACATCCTGTAACAACCGTTCCCTTTCATTTTATATCGGTTTTGAAACATTCAATTCTATATAGTATTAATTATTGGTACTTGTGTTCACGTTTATGAATCCTGATAAGCATCGTGCATCTGACATCAAATTTAATAAAAAAATCCTGGAACTAGAAAAATTATTCTCATTGGGATTGTGTATATACTTAAAGAAGATGCAATCGGACAATTAACTGTTTTGGTTCGTGATTAATCAATCTGTATAAAGGCTCCTATATACACGATCGGCCATGATGGGATATTGCGTAATAGCCCATCATTGCGCTGTCCATCTACACGATCGGTCATAATGGGCTATCATCGATCCCGTCATTGCACTATGATCCTCACGATTGCCCGTGTTTATTTGTTCAAGATGGAACTCGATGACAATTTAAATTGCTACTGATATTTCACAAACAATGTTAATATCAAAATTATGAAGAAAATAGTGTCTTTGTGATTTTTAAATTTAAAGTTTTACATCGTTAGCTCGCCTTTATATAGTTCTATAAAGTCTACCGTTTGATCGTTAATTCACGCCGCCATTGTAAATTCCTCAAGAATTTCTTCTTATAGTACCTATCATCAGAGACAACCCAGAGCCTATCATATACAAATTGAAAGATCGGCGATCGCGTGGATACACAAAATAAGCAATTAATTACCTTCGATCCGTGTGTAAAAAACCGAGAGCTCATCGATTACCGATGATCACTAGCCAATCATGGCCGATCACCGAGAAATATGCCCTCCACACGATGGTACTCGCCTATGGCCGATTATGTATAAGAGCCATTTGGGTTGTCAACAAAAATCATCTCATCTCGGTGATAATTTAAATGCCTTTTTACCACGTAACATTATCCCTGTTAAATAACTAAATACGTACTTCGATGTTGACCTATTCAGTCTGATAGAAGGCATATAGAAACTTTCACAGTTCTCCCACTTCATACATATGATTTGCCGTGGAGCTAACCCAGGTATATGATATTGCGCAGATTTGTACAGGTGTCGGTGAAGTAATGTGATAAGCTTTCAACGGTTGATAATTTTATTGGAAGATTGTGTAGAGGATCTCACGATAATTTTAACCTTTCGTCTTTGGCCACTGGTGTTTCGAATAAAAAGGTGTGTATTTTTAGGAAACGTGAAAATATAAACCCCAATTCCCCGTACGAAATGTACGCTCTCACCTTCAAAGTGAAGACAAACTACAGAAAAAAAAAGCTGAGAAAAATTGATTGCCTCGGCTAGGGACCAAACCTCTGGATCTTCCGAGTATATATAGTCAGCGACATAATGCTATAAAAAGAAGGTATAATATTACGCAGATTGATACCACGTCATGGTGGCGTATTGTAGTCCGGGGCGAGGTTTTTACGAATTTAAAATATCTGATATTATGCGCGAACTCGACAAGATTTCGTCGACTGAGTATCATATACCTCTGTAATTTTTTGTATCATGCGGTTCGCAATACCATTACCTACAATTACCAATTGAACCACCGCGTAACATCTACTAATACTAATGTATTTTGTTGTATTTTAAATAATGTTTAAAATACCAATTCACCAAACACGTGTTTGGTTTATCCCATTTCATTTTGCGTTCCAACAAGTACAAATCGCTGATGAAACAACGGACGAATAAACAGCCGAATTTTTAAATTTGAAGACAGATTCTCACTTTTATCCCTCTCTCAATTCTTCTAAAGAGCCACAAATGTAGCATAATAATGATAATTTATGCTTTATTTCCATATAGGTTTAAAATGTACCATTTAAATTTTCCGCACCACGTATACACGATCGCATACAGCACAAACATATTTCGGAAATATTTCAAATATGTTACATTGAAATATTTGTAATGTATAATTATTACGAAACGTCCCAGAAACATTTCTGAATTAAAAATTTTAAATCTTAGAAATATTAAATAGTAATATTTCAGATATTTATTCAATTTTTTTTTATAAATATTATGAAACGTTTCTAAAATATTATTAGACTAAAAAATGTCATTTAAAAATATACATGTTTATTTAAAATAAACAAAACACAAACTATGATTCTTAAACAAATAAATAATTTTTAATCATTATTTCATAAAATATAAAGGCGAATCGCTTCATTTCCACCAGTTCCTTTAAATGCTCTAATCTGAAACAAATTATAGAGAGAATGGCGTAACAAACAACGATGATGAAATAAAATAACTACTTACAAATTAGAAATTCTTCATTAAGTGTTGGCCTCTACAACATAACCCGTTTAGTAACCTTTTGTGTAACATTTATACCATGTTTCAGAAACAATTTCAGTGAAATATCTAACTAAAATATTTCAGAAACTTGTGCTTGAAATGTTATGTTTGAAACATTTCTGAAATAATGTGTGCTGTCATTGCGCGAAATTTCATTGGTCAAGTATATAGGTACCTCTCTGTAATTTTGTTGAATCTTTACATTATAGACATATATTGTATTGTAAAAAGAAAACAGCAAACGATATTTGATGGCTTTCACAAATAAGTCAACTTCGATTTAGGAAGAATATGAATGGACTTCAGGGACTGAGTAGGTGCGCAAAGCCATGGGACTGGACTGTTTTAAAACCTGCTCCTAAATAATTATTGAAGTCCTCTAGAGGGTTGCCACCTTTTTGAAAAGTGAAAAAGGGACTCTGATGCTGACAGGGGCTCTGTTATACAAAAAGTCCCCATCCTTCTAGTGAACTTCTAAAAAAAAGGCGCCGAGCTGAACGACTGAAGATTACCGAGCTTCTAAAAACAAAAAAAAGGTCGAGTTGAACGAACGAAATCCATCTCATCATCTTACCAAGCCTCATACAGCACAAACACATTTCGGAAATATTTCAACAATGTTACATTGAAACATTGCAATTTTGTATAAATATTACGAAACATTTCTAAAATATGCCTAAAACGTAAAAATGTCCTCTAAATATAATATTTCACAGTAATATTTCTGAAATGAAAATTAGAAATCTTTTAAAAATATTAAATAGTAATATTTCATAAATGTATTCGTTTTTTTTTCTAATACCTATATGCCGCGTTTGAGAATCCACATCAGATGCATCTGAGATGTAGTAAATCTTTGATCACGTGATTCAGTATACGAAAATGTAATGGGACAGATGTGTCCGATTTGTATAAAAAAAAAAAGCTAGAGATGTAAAAAATGCATCCGATGTGGATTCTCAAACGCGGCAATATTATTAGACTAAAAAAGACATTTAAAAATATACATGTTTATTTAAAATACACAAAACTCAAACAAATAAATAAATATGTTTTAAAGAATATTTCATAAAATATAGAAGTGAATTGCTTCATTTTCACCAATTCCTTCAAATGCACTAATTTAAAACAACTAGGTTTTTTTTAATAAATGCTCCAAGTAAAGAAACATGATTATTATAATCTAATCATTATAAGATCAATTAGCAATTTTATCTAACTTATCTAGGGATGAAAAACTTCATCTACTCAATATATAGTGTACTTTAGAGTCTTAATTATTTAGTTACACTACCGTTAACGTATAACACTTTACTCTGTTTTAATCTAATATCACTGAACTAACTCAAAAGGCTTGGTTCTCTTGAGTCTTCTTATTAGATTGGCATTGTTGAGGAGCTGGATAATCTCAAGTTTTCCATGTTCGAGCAGTCGTTGTTGGGGAATACTGGCAAATTTTTGTATTGTATTTTCAACAGTCTCCACTTTAAGGTCCCTATGAAGATCAGTATTACACGGCAGTACCAGGATGCATCGACGATTTTCCTTAATACTTTATCCTGGAACCGTTCAATAACTTGATGTTATTTTTACTGGCAAATTGCTTCATTTCCACCAATTGCTTTAAATGCACTAATCTGAAACAAAATATAGGTAATAATTAAAAAAGGATTTATACAAATTATTTGATTAACAGTAGTTTTATTAATATTGTTTTAACTTAACTATAACAAAACAATACTCATGTTTAAACAAAACAAGCATTATTTATGTAGTTCTCACCTTAATTTCTAAAGACATATTCTGCTTCCCATATACCTAACAAGTGCACAACACATGAACATCAAAAACCAACAACCATAAATTAATATTAATTTATCAATGTCAACAACTCAAATCTATAATTATTTAGAATATAGCCTTGTTTCTAGCAGGGGGTCAATTCTCGACTTTTATTCCCATGGGAAAATAAAATTTTGCCATGGGAATTCAGTTTTCGTATTCTCGACATAAGCGGTGGAATATTTTCCAATGAGAATATGGGAAAATATTCCCCTGCTTACGAGCATTGGAAATTGTGTTTTCCAATGGGAATTGTACTAGAGTTTGCACATTAAAGTCGAAAATTTGACAAAAGGCCACGCGAAAGTCTAAGACATAACCAACGATTATTGGATATCTTGGATTTTTAGTGAAATTGTAGTTAAAACATTTTTTTGGCGTATTTATAGATTGATGTTATTTTATTTATGTAGGTATATTATTTTTAATTCTCTTTCACTAAGAAACTGTATAAACTGATTTTCCTAAATCATTTAGAAATTGTGGGAGCTGCTAAGGGGCTGGCAAATAACACAAATTGAGTGTAGTAAATTTAATAAGACCTTTTCGAAAATTTTATTATTTTCGTTAATGAAAGAATTTCTTAGTTTCTCAAAACTTTCGTTGCTCTTCCATACAAAAGCTACCTTTTCTTTTTTCAACATGAGAAAAGAAAAACTAAGAATAACTCGACAAGTTTTAATTATTATACGTAATCGAATATTTTCACTTGTTCCCCGATCATGATAGCGATTGCTCGGCACGGCACCTGCTCCAGCGCTAAGAATTTTAATCCTCGATGTCTTTAAATACAGCGTTTCCACATTGACGTATGACATTTCTGATGAGAATCTTGAGAGAAATGTGTGCTCATATACTTTGAAAATAGGTCCCCAGGTAATCGAATACCCAAAAACCACAACAAATACAAATAATGCCAACAGTAAATTTTAAAATATCTTTAATGTTATTGGTTGTTTCGAAATATTCGTGGACTTAATATCAGACATACGTGAAACTACTATTTCCATGGGAATGTCTATTCCGACACGTTCGAGAATTGCATAACCTATTACCATGGGAATATAAGTAGTGGAATATTTTCCCATGGGAAAATTTTCCAATGATCTCGAGAATCGAGCCCCAGGTGGCAGGACAGGGACATATCCCACCTTCTTCTTACAAATCACAAATTCTTCATTAATTGTTGACCTTTTACAACATAGCCCGTTTAGTAACCTTTTGTGTAACATGTATGCCAAACATTTGCAGTGAAATATTTAACTAAAATATTTCAGAAATATTTCGGAAACTTGTGCTTGAAATGTTATATGTTTGAAACGTTTGAAATATTTCTGAAACATTTCTGAAATAATGTGTGCTGTATGGGGCTTTAGAGTTGTTACCTATCCTTTTTTGAAAAGAACAGTCCTTTTTTGAAGTAAAATGTCCTTACAACTTTTTAAACCTTTAAAATGTCCTTTTTTAACGGCATATGTTCTGTACCTGGCTTGTACAAAAATATACAAGGCGAGAACCTTTTTACGAGGGCTTTTTTTTGTTACACACTCGTGGACCTTTTTTTTTAGAAGTTCAGATACATTCGTCGACTGTTTTTTTAGAAGCCCTGTCGAAGACGAGGATTTTTTTGTTACACACGTCGACCTTTATTTTTAAGCTATTGCATAACTTTTATCGCGGGCTTTGAGCGCGGCGACCGAATCAAGAAATTCCGTAACGACCGTAACGAAAATAAACCTAAGACCCCTCACTCCGACCGGCACAGCGTTGCGGCGTTGAATGCCGTGGAAGGTTTTATCCTAATCCAACCCTATTCGTATTAGTATGAAGCGGAGTTAAATATACGTCTGCGGATTGGAACGTTTATGCAATACAAGAACTAGAAGAGCTTTCTCTGGCTTCTAATAAATTGGTATCACAAATGTTCCCGGCTGGCGTAAATATTAGATATTAATGTTTAAGCTATTGCATAGCTTTATACGCGGGCTTTGAGCGCGGTGACCGAATCAATAAATTCCGTAACGAAAAAAACCTAACATCCCCACTCCGACCGGCACAGCGTGCTGCGTTAAACAATATTAACTTCTCATTTATTCAATAAAAGAAAATCGAATTATCGAAAAATCCAAATATCGTAAAATCTAAAAAGAAATTCCGTAACGAAAATAAACCGGCGTTGAAAGCCGTGTGCGTGCGACTAGACGTATGCGTGTAGACTAGCTGCTTTTACTGCTCATAACTGATTCTATCTCTTTTAGACACAATTTCGGAAAAATTAAATTTGAAAATGAATAATGATCCACAAGAATCCACAACAAAATATGGGACCACCATTGACGCGGTATTTTCCAGATATTTAGAGATATCAAGTCTCAAACTTATGTTTCTTATTTCAGTTACCATAAACCTATAGTTTCATTGATAAAAATTTCTGAATAACCTACATGTATTGTAAGAATAAAAATATTTTAAACAATATTAACTTCTCATTTATTCAATAAAAGAAAAAAAATGTTTTCTTATCGGTCACCACGCTCAAAAAGTGTAACTTGAATTAATATCAAAAAAAAAACTTGAATTAATATCACAGAAAAAAAATACTGCATAAATAAAATAAATAAATAAATAATTATAATTGCATAAGTTGATAAAAAAATGCTATGCAATAGCTTTACCGCGGCAGTCCCCGAGTGCCACACGTATTTTTTATTTTTTTTTTTAGAAGTTTTGTATACCGGATCCCCTATCAGCATCATAGTCCTTTTTACACTTTTCAAAAAGGTGGCAATCCTACCAAGCTTCAAAAAAAAGTCCTCATATAACTTTTGTAATGTCCCTGCCAAAAATATGTGCTGTCAGTCAAAAAAAGGACATTTGCGCCGTAAAAAGGACATTTTAAGCTTTAAAAAGTCACAAGGACATTTTTCTTCAAAAAAGGACAGGTGGCAACCCTAGCTATGGTCCTCTATCTTACGGTCTTTGGGACCACATACCTTGTAATACAATAAGCATACTATTTCCTATACATTTTTATATTGCGGTAAAGGGATGAGTTTGTACTCCCTTTAACCCTTAGTATCGCAATGATTGGCCTATTATGGTTCCTAGTTTCTTCATGTATGCATTTTACTGTTTCACAGCGCCACTTTAGGAGCAGTACTATACATACTGGGGCAGTACTGTGTAAAATTGATCTATAAATCTTCCAGTAGAAAACCTAACTTGACATTATTAATTTGAAAATTCTCGACTCTGGGGTAGTATTCTCGAATCACGAATACCGACATTCGCATACGTGTTTTACAATGTGCGCACTTTGTTGAACGAAAACCAAGTAAGACAAATCATAAATCTCGCATGCGAATCTATATTCGTGACTCGAGAATACTACCCCTGGTCGACTTCGAGTTATGTGCCCAGACTTGAGTCATTAAAAAGAGGCTAGTACGCTCCTGTAGAATATAAGGGTTGATAAATTTACTATTCGCGATTTTATGAGTTGATCGAATCACTTTCACTATTGCTGTTTCATCTGAAAATAGTTTATACAAGAAGGATAAAAATACCTAGATGCAGCACGGAACGGAGTAGTTCGTAGGTGACTGGTGACAAGTGACAGTGTTTTGTGGTGCTAGTTTTGTAAAAATTGTCAAAAATTAATTCTATCAAGGAAAATTTTTAGTATTTCCGGAAAAATTTCAACCTTTCTTAATTGAATTTATAATGAAACGTTAAATATATAGGTAAGCTATTTAATTTGAATCCGCATGCAAGAATAAATGTCATTATCCGAAATGAAGGTTAGAAGTTAGAAATTGCTAGAAATTTCACTTGTTTCGTCAAATTGACTAATTATTATATTTATAAAGTAATTGTTGCAGAATTAAAATCACACACCAGAACTTACATCAAAATGTCCGATATTTTCATCGAAACTGAACAAAATACAGACTCTAAAGCTCTTCTAGAAACTCCTGAACTAGAAAAATCGGAAGATACTTTTATTACAACAGAAGTAGGAAAGGTAGATCAAGAAAGAGAGAATATTATTAATCCAAAAATATATAATGACAAGGAAGAAAAGCAAGATACTAGTAAAGAAAACGTTACAGAAGAAAATGAAAAAACTGAGCCTTCACCAGAATGGGTAGACCTATTAGGAAGTGGAGCAATTATGAAAAAGATTCTCAAAGAGGGTAAACCTGACACTAGGCCTAACAAAAATGAGAAATGTATTATTAACTACAGCTTATATCTTGAAGATGAAATTCTAGTGGAAAGTGCCAGTAATTTTGAATTGAATTTAGGAGAATCCGATGTAAGAAATTTAAAAGTAGAAATAATTTAAAATGAACATGTATTCATTCATATAATATTAACCCTCATACATATGCATTGTGCTATATTAGTAAAGACGTAATATGTGGTCCACTGAAGGTAGTGGCAGTACACCATATTTGTGTGAGGCAATTTTGGTTCCACTGACAGTTAACCTCTAACCAAAATTTTAACAAAAACATCTGATTTTGACATAAGTTTTTACTGTTTTTAGTTTTTTCTAAATATTGTTTGCAGGTCATACAAAATTGGCAACTAAATGATTATATCTACTTATTTTCAAAAATTATATAATTTAAGTAAAGTTAGCACTTTTCAATTGGTCTCTTGCTAATGGTCTGTCTCTGAACACCGATAAATGTTACTAAATTACTTTTACTAGAAATAAAACTTCCATTGTTTTCAATTATTTACTTAATAATGTACCCATGAACAGAGTTGTTTCCATCACGAATCTGGGTATCAGGTTTGATAGTCAGTTGACATTTGCTGAACATATTAATAATATTACTAGCAAGGGTTATCAAATGGTGTGGTTTACGATGAGTAATTCGAAGGATTTATTAACTAAAGCTATTTTAGTGGTTTATAATGATCTAGTATGTTCCTTACTTCAATATTCTTCTATAGTCTAGACTCCTTATTACACAGTTCATATCTCAGCAACTGAAAGAATATAACACAAATTTTTGAGATTTGCAGCATATAAAATGCACTTACAGGTTGGCAGTTACATTATTATTAGAGAATCATAGAATATTTAGGGAAATTACTAGGTTATTCAAATGGTTGCCAGGGTATATTTGTAGCCCAGAACTTCTGTCTCTTTTCTCAGTTAGGATTCAGAACCACTTGTAACCACAGTTTGTTTGCTGTTCCATTTCATTATACAAATTATGGATATCACCCTTCTGTCTCTCGCTTGTCAAGAACAGCCAATATTCTTGGTGAACAGGACATTGATTTTATCGGTCTTTCCCTGAACTCCTTGAAAGCTAAGTTGAGATCAAAGCTTTAAAAACATGATATATGTAATTCGCTGATAAATTTTGTATTTAGCTAGGTTAATATAAAGGGGGCTTCTCGTTAAATAAGTAAAAATAATATCCACTCAAAAAGTCTACCGTCACTTTAATTGTCAGGAACGAAAATTACATCATCACTAATTGTATTACAGTAATACTAGACTTATAAAAAAAGATGTTATAGGTGTTCATTAACATTTTATTTCTATTATTTTCAAGATCTTATTCATTTAAATATTGAAAATAATTTGGTTACATAACTTACATATACATACCTTTAAAATACTTTTTATGAGCTGCAAACAATATTTAACAAAAACTAAACAGGGTCTACTGAATAAAAAGAAGTATTGGCTTTTACTTCCTTATATAAAGGTTTACTTATAGCAAACTAAAATGATTTCAAGTAGTTACTTAAAATATAAGAATTTACTTATATTTTTTCAGTACATACTTATTTTTATTTGAATGAAAAAGAGTTAGTGTCATTTTAAGTATGACATCATGTCAGTTAAAAGTACAATATATAACTACTTATTGATATTGGTTGGTAATTTTTACATGTAGACTTTTCAAAAACAGATGTCTCCTTTTGATAACTCGTTGCAAAACTACAAATCTTCACAAGTGGATGTTGTTTAATGTACCCACTGCTGGAAGCTAAAGGGCATAATTTCAAAGAATTAGGGGAATGGTTCTTTTGCTACAAATATATTTCTCTTCTGATAGGATTGAACACCAGTAACAGCCACCTCATCTTTTAGAGCATTCAAAATAGATTCATGTTCATGAAATTTGATAAAAATTAATCATTTAACAGAGATAAGATCAAAATGCAAGGTATTTAGTGAGATTATTTTTACCCTCAATCTAAAGACATTTATTTTTATATGGACAGATTAAAAATTTCCTTAGTTCCTAGTTTTTTTTTTTTCAGATTATTTGGCCACAGCTATTGTGAAATATTTTAAACTTTCATGGTAAATTCTGAGAAAAAAAAAATAACACTTATGTAATTAAATTTAAAATATTATAGCAATGAATGGCTTAAACTAACACAAATGAATTGTTTATAATCCAAAAATATTCTAAAGTAAATATGATACCTACATTATTTCTGTTAATATTTAGATATTATACAAATGACAAATTAAATATGAGTTCGAAATATTACAATGCAAAAACAATAATCATTTTGAAAATATATTATAGGTGACACATTAAAAGAAACAACAAATTGGTTCAGGACTTATAAGTTTATTTGAAAATTCACGATAAAAGTTTTTATGGCAAAGCTCCATATTTTTATATAATTCTGCTATCATTTTTCAAATAAACAGTATTCGCTGTTCTGGTAAAACAATGACGCAAATACAAAATTATAAATTTTTCAGGAGAGACGAAAAACGAATATTATTACTCCCAAATTTGGGCACATAAATCACAAAGAACTTGTCCCTAAATAGCAAATTCGACATTTAACCATAGAGTAAGTAACATCTCCCTTAAAGTTGCAGACACAACTGATTCATATGTCATTGTTTTCCAAAAGTGGAGGAGAAAACGTTAATATTTTAAAACTGAGGCAACTACCATCTAGCAGCTGCGAGTGGATATAAAATTACGTTGTTGTTATACCGTATAGAGACTCATTTGGAAACTAATGACATGTTAAAATCAAAATGTCATAATTTTGCACTTGCGTCATTGTTTTACCGGAACAGCGATATGTAATATTTTATTAAATGATAGACCTACCTGTGATTGAAAATTTCTGTAGAACGCCATCAGTATGGAATGTGTTAAAAAGTAATTTTTGTCTTGAAAGCATTCTCTTACTTAATCTATCTTTAATTAAGTAATATGGTTATATTTTGAAATAAATTTGATACCCTATTTTTATATGAGGTAACATATTAATTTCTATGTAATTTCAAAACATTAAAATAGACTTGATTATTAAAGCAGGACTTAAAAATTGCCTGTCTCTTTATCAAATTTAAAGAACTCAACTTTTTTTTTTAACCTTAAGGGGCGTTTATTATTATTACAAACTGATTAAAAATTGATCAATAAGTAATTTTGTTCTAACCTAACTTAACTAAGGTTGCAATATTAAAAACTTAAGTTCTACTCACTAGTACGCTAGTATACCTTAGGGTTTGATAACTTAATTACACTAAACTGCACAAGGCTTTGCTTTGTTATTGATACAATCACTTGGCTGACCCATAATGTTTTTCTCTTGAGTCTTCTTGTCAGGTTCGTGTTGTCAAGAAGCTGGATCGCCTCAACGTTCCCATGTTTTTGGAGCCGTTGTTTATGACTCCTAGCGAATCTAGTGATGGTCTGATCAACAGTATCTATCTGAAGGTTTCCACGAAGGTCGCCGTTTCTAATGTACCAAGGAACATCGACAATGTTTCTCAATACTTTGTTCTGGAATATCTGGCATATTAGAATATTACTGTTGTTAGCACAACCCCAGAACTGAATGCCATAGGTCCAAATTGGTTTGAGGACTTGTTTATATAAAAGAATTTTGTTATATGTAGATAGGCTTGCATTCTAATGCCTAAATATTTTGCTGATTTAGTATAAGGGATCTGGGCATTATTTATGTTAATTGGTATTCGTTGACCATTTTTGTAAGTAAAATGAATATTAACAAATTTGGTTTCGTTTAGTTTAATACGCCTCTTTTTGGTCCAGTTATTTGATTAACTGATGTTTGTAATTTATTTTCAGTCTCTTCATGATCTTTGCCTACCGCTAGGATGGCAATATCATCTACAAATGCAGCTATTGTATCTTGTTTTAGTAGGGGTGTGTCACAAGTTTATAACAGATAGGAAATGTTTGTTTTACTCTAAAGCAGTGTTTCTCAAACTTTTTTGGCGACGGAACCTTTTTGAAAAGCGAAATATTTGACGGAGTCCGAACACATTTCAAAAAACAAAGTCCTCAAGCAAAATCATATCCATTCGCTTAGTGAATTCTAAAAACAAGTACTGCTTCACTTTTTTTTATTATGACTAATATTTTCTATGCGGAGCCCCCACAAAGTGGGGCTCCGCAGAACACACTTTGAGAAACACTGCTTTAAGAATCTATTTGAAATGTACGAATCCACCAGCTCTGAGTATGACTGTGGAAGTATCACATTCAGTTTATGTTTTAAGCAAGCATGCCATTCTTTATCAAAAGCCTGAGCAACATCGAGTAAGACAGCTGAACAGAATTCTTTGTTTTCTAATGCTTTTTCAATTGTATTAAAAATTCTGTGAACCTGACCCAGCAAACATTTTGGTGTAATTTGACGTCGATACTACCTAAATTATATATAATAAATTTGGTCGCAAAATTAGATTTAACCATAATTAAGTAAAATTTACGTTGGCTCGACGTGGATTCGACATAAGTGGAGAATAAGACGACGTCGAAATTTGGTTTTATTTACCAAAATAGGTAGAATTACATCTAAATCCACATTGTAGTAGCCCAGTACGTTTGGTTAGTAATACCTCTCTAGGGAAATTTGACGTCAGTATAACGTTAATTCGACGTTGATTTAACTAAGTTTAAGTAGAAACTACCAAAATATTTGCAGATGAAATATATGTAATGTAATTGCGGTGAATATACAGTTCACGCTTGTTGAAATTAATGCGAAGAAAATTTTGTCGTGCATGTTAACAGTTCTACTTAAAAAAATAACAATGCCCTTCCAAAATACTCTCTAATTAAAAAAATATAAGAAAAAAATATGATCGTGTAAAAAATAATAATATGAGCTAAAACTATGTTACGTTTGTTGTGTATCACTTTAGAAAATCAATAATGTTTCGTTTTTCGGTATTTTCATTCGTATGTTTTAGTTATGGTTATTTTAAAAATTTAAAATTTGGAATCGTACTTCAATTACGTTAAGAAAATATGGCGTATTATGCGAATTCGACCTAAAAGTTATTATGACTAAGGAAATCTACGTATTTTACAAATACCTTTTTACTAAGTTGAATTAACTTCAATTTCACGACATATTAGTTAACTTTACCTATTTAAAGAAATAATAACATAGGTTTTATAAAAAATTTACCTATAGATAAATATAACATATTTAGGTCACGTTGTTCTGTACTTGAGATTTTAGACGTTTCACTTTACGATAAAAATCGGAAGTATAACGATATGATTTATTATTTTTCGAACTCATTTTATTAATTATTTTTTGCACTCATTTAAAGCTCTATCTACATCACACGTAAATTAAGATTACGACTGTAATGGTTTTTTTTTAAATGGCCGAAATTCTTAAGAATAATGACGAAGACAGTAACTGAACAACCTAATTGTTAAAATAACCTAAGTAATATAAATTTTAGAAATAGGTTATGTATGACTCTTTTTAAATTGGTGGTTTTTAGTCGAATTTACTTTGTGGTAGATTTTTTAGGTAATTGCTACAACAAAGTTAATAAATATTTCTTCAAGATGACTTATAGGTCAACTAAATGAGTATTAAACTATTTGGTTGAAATTAGGTAGATAAATAGGTAGAATTTTGCTACGATCTCGACCTAATATTACTTTAAAGGAGAGTAAATAAAAGCGGCCAAATAGGTTACTATGGAGGCATAAAATTACGTAGAATTTTTAACCAAATCTACCTAGTTGGATATTCTACTATAAAGACGATTTTTAGTTGCCAAACAGGTAGATATTACCTAAATATGGCACCTAATTTTACTACAAAGGAAATTTAACTTTGAAGTAATTGTTGGTTATTTTTTTTAGTAGTTTTACCCTTGCTGATATGGTTAAAGTTACTTTTAAGCAGATTAAAAGGTAGATTTCTTGGTATAATTTACGTAAATTTAAATATAAATTAAAACCATTTGGTAAATTTACATTAGAGGTATATTTTTCTAGTCAATTTTACGTAATAATTACCTCAATAAGTAAATTCGTCTTTAACAAAGTCGAGTTATAACTAATGTTATAGAAAATGTTTGCTGGGGATCTAAAGCTGAACTGATAATCTGGAATTAGTTTCCTTTCTTCAGTGATGGGTTTCAGTCTTTTCATTAGTATTTTTTCGATAATATTGGCAATAGAGATATTGGCCTATATGACGAAACTTCGGAGGTTTTCCTGGTTTGGGCATCTCTTTCTGGTATATCCCAATTTGGTAATTCTTCTCATTCATTTGGTTGGAAGGTATTTTGTAAGTGCTCTGCAAATCTATTAACTTTTTGTGTGCTATTTCTAGCTTCCATCTGTATTCCTGATTGGAGCATTCTACACAGTGTACCTTTTCAATCGCTTTGTAGCTTTTTATAGAATAAACAGTTTATCAACTCACTAAGGTACTCACTAATAGATTCATTTTATCTCCATTTTTAACTGCTGGGTGGCGTTGTTTTGGTTTTATCTGATGGAGCTCTGGTCTGATGCCATTTTCTCCTTAGTTTTCTTTTTGCAAAGATTAGGTCCCTCATTTCTTTAGGATAGTTATTTCCTATTGTTCGCTGAGCCATAGGTGGGTTATTATTCCATTCTGCTTGCTGAATGTTGGACACAACACTACTTTTTCATCTAGCTGTGCTGTTGTTATTAATGGAACTGAAAGATTCCTTTTCAAGGTCCAGTCTGTTTTCCTCTTTATTAGTCTAAAAGCGCTGTTGAATGATCTGAATTTGTGTCCCATGCCTCATCAACTTGGATGTAGTTTGCTGAAATATTTCGTAAAACAAAAAAGTCTGTTAAATCGGGTATTTTATTTCTCTGCTGTGGGCCAATAAGTTGGTTTGCCAGTTGAATGCGACTCACATTTTAATGTTAAATATAGTCCTTGAATATTGAGGAAGTCTAGGTACTGTTTCTTTTTAACGGACTGTATTTGAGGACAATATGTAGAAGTGATCATAACATCATAAGTTTTAGATTTTATCATGTCTATGTTTTCTATGTCTAGGATTGATTGCAATTCTTTTTGGTGCTGCAGCAGTCTATTGGCATTCTATTCCATTATTATTAGGCTATTACTCATTAGCTTGCTACTATATTCTAACCTAGTAGTTCGTGCGTCCATTATGTTCAGCTTTACCAAGAACTTAACTTGAGTATTTTATCTTTATAATTTTTTAGGTAATACAGGGACTTGATGTAGCCTTAGGATTGATGAATCTTGATGAAAAATGTAGATTAAAAATTGAACCTAGACTTGCTTTCTCCAAGAAAGGGTACCCACCTAAAGTGCCTGAGGATGCCTTAGTTATTTATGATGTTGAGTTAGTAGGAGTAGAGCCAGAAGATGATATTGATGTAATGTCTGTTACTCAACGTAAAAAGAAAGGGTGAGTAACTCAATATTTATTTTAATAACAACTTACACAACCATACTTGTAAATGCACCTTCTAAGTGACAACACTTATTTGTACAAGATGAAAGAAAAATGATATTTATTTTAAAATTAATTAATTTGCACTATAAATTGTATAATGTAGTAATAAATATAATTATAAAAGCCCAGTGATGTATAAAAATTAGGTATATTATTATCAACAATTATTTTCCATAGATTGGAATCGGCATAAGTTGGAATAATAATAGATATTGATTAGTAAAAAGTCAAATGGTATATTTACGAATATAGTACTTTTCAATACACTTAGGCTCCAAATCTTTTCATATATCGGGCCCCATAATAGTTGTAACTTTTCTATCTTCAACATATTCAATACAACATAAGTTTTCCATTTTAGGAACAAAAAGAGAGAACGAGGAAATTGGTGGTATACTCGTGGTGAAAACAATATAGCTATTCAGTGCTATAGAAGAGCTTTGGACTATTTAGACGAAGTAGAAGGAAGTAGTTATGCTCTATCAGATGATAATGAAAAGGGAGAAATATCAGATTCCGATTTACAAAGTATTTTGGAGGACCGTATCAGTGTTTGTAACAATATGGCAGCGGCACAGATTAAAATGGAGAATTACAGTGCAGCTCTGAGTTCGTTACAAATTGTACTTAAGTGCCAACCAAACAATGTTAAAGCTCATTTCAGAAAAGCTAAGGTAAATATCAAATTAACTTTTTTATTATCTGGATATGGATTTTTTTTTCACTTTTTATAGTAAACTATTTTTAGGTATTTATAGGAAAAAATGACCTGCCTACAGCAATGAGATGTTTACTAAAAGCTAAGGAATTAGCACCGACTGATTCAGAGATTCAAAAAGAAATAATCAAAGTGTCTAAATTGCTTGATAAACAAAAAAATACAGAGAAAGAGTTGGCGAGGAGAATGTTTAATGGTACCACCACAAAGCCTGATGACCTAAAAGATAAAAAGAAGTCTCGTGGAAGTAAAGTAAGTTTTTTTTAAACAAAATAAATTTAATATATTTATTGGCCTTTAATACATGGCGTTTCATAAGTGTCGCATCATTTTTTTAATACTGTGTATAATTTCTAAAAACAAAAGTATTTGTGAAGGGAGCTCAAGAATCTCATTTTACTAAAGTATGCGCAAATGAACCCTGTCACATATCAAACTAGAAATGTAATATTTTAAATTTTAAAAAGCATGACTAAAATAATGTTTCTCTTAAAAACGGGTATGAAATAAAAAAAAATGAATGATACTTATACTATGTAAATATCTGAAATTAAAAAAATGGGACTTCCCTAAAGGAATTATATTATTGGGATATTAACTGTTAAAATTCATTAAATTAAAAATATACTCTCAACTTTTTCTTTTTAGCTAGTCTTGTGGGGAACTCTTGGAGCAGCCGTAGCCATAGGTGCTGCAGGTTTGGTAGCATACCGTCTAAAAGTTTAACATTCATTTCATTGCATTTAGCCAAATTACTAGGAGGAACTCGAGTTTATGTTAGTCACCGTTCATTTTAAGATTTTTATACTTGTTGGTTTGTGAATCACTATTTGTTTTATAAAAAGAAAGGAATTTGGTATTTTACATTATTTGTTATTTGTTCTTTTTATTATACTTTGAATATTAATTAAATAGTGTTTCTTTCATTTATTTTGTAGTGTTACGAGTCGACTAGGGTACAGTCTGCCCATATTTCTGTCAAAATTTATATATAGCTGGCAAGATCAAACCTTTGGTCTTGCTTTGTCCGTTGTAAGATGTTTTGTTGCCTCAAAGAAAATGACACTTACTGTTGCCACCTTACAATTGGAGAACACTGGAGGCCAGTTTTGTTAACGTTGTTTGCTTCACAATCTTTCGATGCAGCTTGCGAAAGAACCTTAGCGGATTCAGATGGAGATAGTGGAAAATTCCAGTGGTTAGGTGTTCAGACTTTAATTTTTTAGAAAGTATAAATAACAGGTTTTAATCGTTATTGACACGTCGAAGAATTCTTAGAAGCTGAAAAGAATTATAAATAAAGTCGATACAGGGTTAAATAACCCTAATTATAAGGCAATCAAGTAGATAGGGTAAAACTTGAGCCGTCGATATCAAACCGTAATATATAACAAGTAAAAATGGCTAACGGACAGTGAACTGCTATAATCGCGCAAATCTCGTTACTGCCATGCTTTAAATACTTTTATACTATTTTTATTTATTTTTGTAGCACTTACAGAATGTAAAATTCCAAATAGTATAGTATATCTAACCCAACACAAACAATAATTGTAGGAGTTAAAAACAATATAAAGTAAATTAAAAAATATAAAATATTAAAAAAAAGAATAACACAATACTGCGGGACGATACGAGTAAAACTTAGACATTCAGGAGTTGCAAGTCCCTTTTCAGCGTCAAAATATTACAATTAAATATATCAAGTCATGGGCGTCGTTACACAATTCTATAGGGAGGGGCAAAATTTTGAAAAAATTTAGAATATTTATTTGTTGAAAACCAGAAAATGAAAAATAAAAGAGCAATACAAATTAACAAAAGTTTCTAATAAATAAAATAACCCAACAAAAAAGACAAAAACTAAAATAAAAAAAAAAACAAGAAACTTAAAACACATATTTTTAAAAAACAAACAGGTGTGATATAAAAATATGAACAAGACAGAGCCATGCATAATATAAAAAAAATAAAATATTTATAGAAACACAAAAACAAAAAAACTCACTCAAACACGTCGACGAACACTGGGAAAACGCAAATTTTTAATTTCTTCTTCCTCTTCCTAAAATAATCGATAACAGAAAACATGATTTCTTTTTAGTTTTTGCGATTATTTTTCGATGTACGCTCATCATGCAAAGCGCAGTCAGCCTATTTTCATTCATTATTCGCTCTGTGCGTGACAGCAGCGCCAACTAATTTATAAACTAACGGACGATATTTGTGTATACTGACAATTCAATTTTTAATGGAATTTCTAATTAAAAAATATATATATGTTGATTTTAATAAAAGCATATAGATTTGTAAAACAAGTTAAAAAAATAATTATATATTTTTATTACTTGAGCTAAAAAAAAGTAGTATAATCAATAATAAAATATAGGCAGGCAACAATATTTACGAGAAAATGTATGATATGTTGCCTAAGCCTAATAAGTTGTCATTGAAGAAAAGATTAAATAATGTGAAAATAAAAACATTACCATTATACAGGGTGTTTCATAATATATACGCAGGACTTCAGGACGTGATAGCTCGTTCAAAAATATGAAAAAACGTGTCTATTAACTTACCTAAAATGCACCATTTTCGAGATACAGGGTGTTGAAATTGAAAAAAAAAAAATTCTACGCCACTGGAAAAAGTACAGTTTTGAGACGCCCATTTGAACCGCCAATGTTTTCTACACAATAAAGGTACTCTTGGTCATACGCTCTAAAGTCGACCGTTTTCGAGAAAAATCAAATTTTAATGTTGAAATACATGGTTTGGCAGAAACCAATAGTTGGACTCTCTCAAGCAGTGACCCGCACTTGAAAAAAACACCTATTAATTTAGCCAGGAATAGGAGTAAAGCCTGTTTTCTTCCTCATTCCAGGTTCTGCATGCCGCAAAGCATTAATCTTATTTGATAACATTTGTTATGGCTATGAAATCGGTGTTTAAAGAGCAGGTATTTTACGAATTTACGTTGCTCCCTTTCAATTCTATTGATATGACAGGTGTAAGTAGGTTGCCAAATAACAGAACATTATTCCAGGACACTTCTCACCAGGCCAATGTAAAGTGTCATGATTGCTTTTGTGTCATTCACGTACCTAGTATGTCTCTTGATGAAGCCAAGCATTCTGGGGGCTTTACATACTATGGAAGCCATCTGTCTATGATTGGCAAACTGCCAAACACATTGTAGACGATGAAAAAATTAGATGGGCAATATCCAACTTCTCTCCATTTAAATCGCCAGGACCTGACTGTATCTATCCAGCCCTACTTCAATGGGGTCTGGAAGAACTCACACCATACCTGGTGGGTATATTCAGATCCTCGTTGGCTCTGAGGTATATCCCCAAAAAATGGAGAGAGGTAAAAGTGGTATTTATACCCAAACCTGGAAGGATGGATTACACCTTGATTACACTGTCCCAAAAACATACCGACCAATTAGTCTGACATCGTTTTCCATGAAGACATTGGAAAGGCTATGCGAAAGGTACATAAGGGATGCAGTGATTACAACACCACTACACCCAAACCAACATGCATACACCCCAGGCAGATCTACTGATTCAGCCGTTCATCTAGTTGCTGGCCATATAGAAAGATCCCTGGATAATAAGGAGTCCGCTTTAGGTGTTTTCATAGACATAGAAGATGCTTTTGATAAAACCACCTTCCCAAAGATAATACACTCGGTAACCAACAGGAATGTTCCACAAATGGTTAATGGGTGGATACATAACATGCTCTCAAAGCGAGCAGTAAACATAAGTGTAGAAGATGTGAATATAATAGGCTTCGTTGCGAGGGGATGTCCACAGGGAGGGTGCTATCACCTCTACTGTGGAATATGGTCCTCAACACCCTCATCAGCCGCCTCAATAATGACAGTCACTACACAATAGCATATGCAGATAACCTGGTCATTCTGCAAACAGGGAATTTTGAGAACATACTCTGCGAAAGAATGCAAGTAGCTCTAAAAATTATGAACAGTGGTGCAAGGACCATTCACTGTCTATCAATCCTAAGAAGACATAAACAAGGAAAAGGATGAAAATGGAATTAAAAACCTTCAGAACTCCTAAACACAAAAGTAAACTTTGCAACAGAGGTGAGGTATCTAGGTATCACCTTTGACAGAAGTTAACATGGAACTCGCATTTAGAAAACAGTTAAAAGAGCATAATACATTGCTTATGAACAATGCCGCCGAACCGTGGTGCGCACCTGGGGTTTCTCTCCCAGAATCGTCGCATGGACTTACACCGCTATCATAAGACCTATGCTAACATACGGTGCAGTTGTCTGGGTACCGAAAACCCAAAAACTAACAGCTATCCGTAAACTAGAACAAATTTAAAAAACAGCATGTCTCAACATAACAGGAGCCATGAAAACAACACCGACCAGAGCCATGGAAGTCATTCTTAGTCTCACTACCCTTGATATTTACATCAAGGAGGTTGCTCTGACGACAATGACACGCCTCTGCACGGTTGGAATAGAACCTGATGTAGGATCTGGTGAGGCGAGACGTCGCTTTTGGCAGGAGGCGCTCGATACGCTCCCACTGCATCAAACGAATATGGACTCCATCTCACCGAGATATATCTTCCATAAGCCATATAAAGTTGTAATAGAACAAATAGAAGAGCTAGAAGTGGCAGGTACGATTCATATCTACACCGACGGTTCTAAAACAAAACAAGGTTCAGGATGTGGAATATACTCCAGATTCTTAAACCTAAACATAAAATGGGCAATATCACTGGAAGGAACATGCTCATCTATACAGATAGCAGACAAGCACTACTCATCCTGAACAGACCACGAATTTACTCAGGGTTAGTACTAGAATGTCACGAAGCTTTGGCCGAAGTATCTATCAACAATGATGTTACCTTACTACAGCAAACAAATACTTGACTATGACTAGACAGAATATGCGCCTAGTCACAGGAATTCTGACAGTTCATTGCCAAGTACGGAAGCATCTCCATATCATGGGGCTGTCAGAATCCGCACTCTGCAGAGGGTGCGAACAAGAAGATGAGACCATCGAGCATATCCTTTACGATTGCTCTACGCTCTCATTTATTAGAAGATTTATGTTCAGCGAGTATCGGCTAACACCGGCCGATATAAGAGAAGCACCTCTTGGCTACGTCAACTACATTAAATCTGTAAGCTGGCTCACGAGCTAGGAGGTGCCTATCATCTTAGGAGGATGCACAATGGACCCAATGAGGCCTAAGTGCCGTGGGGGGGGGGGGGGTAACCCACCCTCCACACGTTACAGATACATGGTTGTTAAAAGATATTGTGGTATCAAAAGTAATGCCCAGATCAATAACTGTCGAGGATCTATCTAGGTTGACGCTGTCAATACTTAAGAGTAGGATTGTGGGATCTTGTAAAATGCATGGTTGTGCACTTAGAAATATTTATAGAAAGAGCGTTATTTTTACACCAGGTAGCAAATCTGTTTAGGCTAGACTGTAATGCGGAGTTATTACCAGCGTTTCTACTAAAAAACTTTAAATCATCCGCGAAAAGAAGGCATTGGCTATTAAGAAAGCAGGACGTAACATCATTAAAGAATAAGGAAAACAATAGGGGACCTATATGTGAACCTTGAGGAACACCGGATAGGACTGAAACGTCACTTGATACGGAATTATGCACTATGACACCGATTACTCAAATAAGATACCGCGGAAATTACTATCTAAGCTAAATAATAAAATGACATCTAACGCCAACTTGCAGCAATCGCACAAATCTCGGTTGACACTAGAATCCAAATATTATTTAAACCAACGAATTATTTATATAAACACTGCATTATTTGGCTTCAATAAGGTAAACTTCCAAAAGTATAACCTGCAAATCAAAACCCGGT